CCACCAACAGTGCAGGAGGGTTCCCTTTTCTGCACATCCACTTCAGCATTTATTATTTGTAGACTTTTTGATAATAGCCATTCTGACTGGTGTGAGGTGCTGCCTCATTGTAGTTTTGCTATGAATTTTTCTAAAAATTAGCGACGTTGAGCATATTTTCATGTGCCTGTTGACCAAGGGTCTGAAAACTACAGCCTCAGGCCAAAGCCAGCATGCTCCCTGTTTTCGTAAATAATGTCCATTATTTACGAAATAAATAACTATTCTGCCCATTTTTTTGATTGGGTTTCTTGTTGTCGTTGAGTTGTATGAGCTGATTGTATATTTTGGATATTAACACATTGTCAGTTGCATCATTTGCAAATATTCTCTCCCATTCTGTAGGTTGTCTTTTCATTCTATTGATGGTTTCCTTTGTTGTGCAAAAGATTGGGTCCCATTGGTTTATTTTTCTTTTTATTTCTTTTGCCTTGAGAGACTGATCTAAGAAAATACTGCTATGATTTATGTCCAAGGATGTTTTTCCTATGTTCTCTTCACAACCCCTGTTTGTGGTAATTACACAGAAGCAGATCTCTACCCTTCTAATGCAGGGAGGGCTCACTGAACTGTGTGCACGCCTCTAGAACAGTGGTTCTTCTCCTTGGCCTCACATGCCCTGAGGAGCATTTTTTTTTAAAACAGACCAGTGGAACCAATCTCTGGGGGTGGGTCCATATTGGCATCTGTTAAAGCTCCAAGGTAGAGAACCACTGCTCTAGGGAAAAAAGAGAGGGAGGGAGGGAGAGAGGGAAAGAAAGAAAGGAAGAAAAGACTGAATGGTTCTAACGCTCATGACGTCACCATGATGTACCTCAGTGGCTGTCAACCCTCACTTCACTCTGGAATCACTGGAGAGTTAAAGAAAAAACCCAGTCTTCTTCCTCCTTCTCCATTCTCCATTCAGGCCTAAAGCCACTAGCTGACCACACTGTGGTTGGGAGTGGCTGTGGGGTGTGAGTTGGGGTGGGAGAACTGTGGTGGGCCAGAGTAGGCTGAGAAGGACACCTCTGCAGACTTAGGGACAACTTGATTTGGGAGTTAGGGCCTTAGCAAGGTGTCCACACAGGGGAAGACATGCAGTGGAGTTGGGAGATTGGTTACGTATTGGAGGTTAATTAAATGAGTGAAAATATTAAGGCTAGTGGAAGCCAGGTTTCTTACAATTGGAGGAGGGAGTTATAATTGCAAAAAGGGACAAAAACTAGACTCCACTCTGTGGTGGTAGATTGGAATTGGATGTATCAATGTGGGGAAAAAATATATATATAAAAATTTGGACAGATGTGTCTGTGTGTGTATGTCTGTACACACATACATACACATGTATACACATAAACATATATATGCATACATATAGTCCCTAGCTTTGTCCACTGAGAGGGCCTGGGAACAGTAATGCCCCAGTACCAATGAGCATACTTATCACTCAGATCTTGGCTTCTAAATACCATTTTCCACTGAAAGGAACCAAGATTCTTTAGAGAAATGTCTGCTTCCATGACTAGGGGTTGGGAAAGTACATGATGAGCCTGAAACACTTTGTTGTGAAAGTGTTCAGAGAATGATGGGGACCTGTCAAAGGAGGCAGAAGCCAGCTTGAATGGGCTCCCATTGCCACATCAGGGACAATCTGAACATCCAAGTTAATACTGATGGTAAAAGATTACAACCATTGAATAAACCAGGAAACCACAAGTTGATATTGATATAAATTTAAAAATGAATTAATGGAAAGTGATGAAGAATAGGCCATTTACACAGTTTCTAAATACCTGCCTACAAATGCTTATTAATTACAAAAGGAGGGCAAATGGTTGACTGTGGTGAAGCCTGGCAACTACTCCTTTGATCAAGTGATCAAAGTGAACAACATCAGTTTGGGACAAATCGAAATCAAGCGCCACTGATAGGATGTAATGAGAAAAGCACATCTCTTCTGTGATATTCCTGCCAAAGGTGCGTGACCTGAATTTAATCATGAAAATATATCAGACAAACCAAATCTAGATATATTCTACAAAATCTTCATGTGTCAAGGTCATGGGAGGTAAGGAAAGCTGATGATTATTCTAAACTAAAAGAGACCAAAGAGAATTGATGACTAGATCCAATGCTTGATCCTGATCTGGATCCTTTTGCTATGAAGGACATTGTCAGAACAGTGAGTCTTCCTTTTTTTTTTTTTTGTACATCTTGATTGGAGTATAATTGCTTCACAATACTGTGTTAGTTTCTGTTGTACAACAAAGTGAATCAGCCGTATGCATACATATATCCCCGTATCCCCTCCCCCTTGAGCCTCCCTCTCACCCTCCCTCTCCCACCCCTCTAGGTCATTGCAAAGCACTGAGCTGATGTCCCTGTGCTGTCGCTGCTTCCCACTAGCCATTTTACATTTGGTAGTGTATATATGTCGATGCTATTCTCACTTTGCTCCAGCTTCCCCCTCCCCACCATGTCCTCAACTCTGTTCTCTATGTCTGTGTCTTTATTCCTGCCCTGCCACTAGGCTCATCAGTACCTTTTTAATTTTTTTTAGATTCCATATGTATGTGTTAGCATACAGTATTTGTTTTTCTCTTTCTGACTTACTTCACTCTGTATGACAGACTCTAGGTCCATCCACCTCACTACAAATAACTCCATTTCGTTTCTTTCTATGGCTAATAGTCCATTGTATATATGTGCCACATCTTCTTTATCCATTCATCTGTTGGTGGACACTTAGGTTGCTTCCATGTCCTGGCTATTATAAACAGTGTTGCAATGAACATTGTGGTACATGTCTCTTTTTGAATTATGGTTTTCTCAGGGTATACGCCCAGTAGTGGGATTGCTGGATCATATGGTAGTTCTATTTTTAGTTTTTTAAGGAACTTCCATACTGTTCTCCATAGTGGCTGTATCAATTTACATTCCCACCAACAGTGCAAAAGGGTTCCCTTTTCTCCACACCCTCTCCAGGTGTGTGTTTGTAGATTTTTTGATGGTGGCCATTCTGACTGGTGTGAGGTGATACCTCACTGTAGTTTTTGTGTGTGTGTGTGTGTGTGGTACGCGGGCCTCTCACCGTCACGGCATCTCCCGCTGCGGAACACAGGCTCCGGACGCGCAGGCTCAGCGGCCATGGCTTACGGGCCCAACAGCTCCGCGGCACGCGGGATCCTCCCGGACCAGGGCACAAACCCGCGTCCCCTGCATTGGCAGGCGGACTCTCAACCACTGTGCCACCAGGGAAGCCCCCCTCACTGTAGTTTTGATTTGCATTTCTCTAAGAATTCATGATGTTGAGCATCTTTCCATGTGCTTCTTGGCCATCTGTATGTCTTCTTTGGTGAGATGTCTATTTAGGTCTTCAGCCCATTTTTTAACTGGGTTGTTTATTTTTTTGATATTGAGCTCCATGAGCTGTTTGTATATTTTGGAGATTAATGCTTTGTCTGTTGTTTCATTTGCAAATATTTTCTCCCATTCTGAGGGTTGTCTTTTTGTCTCATTTATGGTTTCCTTTGCTGTGCAAAAGCTTTTACGTCATTAGGTCCCATTTGTTTATTTTTGTTTTTATTTTCATTACTCTAGGAGGTGGGTCAAAAAAGATCTTGCTGTGGTTTATGTCAAAGAGTGTTTTTCCTATGTTTTCCTCTAAGAGTTTTACAGTGTCTGATCTTACATTTAGGTCTTTCATCCATTTGGAGTTTATTTTTGTGTATGCTGTTAGGGAGTGTTCTAATTTCATTCTTTTACATGTAGCTGTCCAGTTTTCCCAGCACCACTTACTGAAGAGGCTGTCTTTTTTCCATTGTATGTTCTTGCCTCCTTTGTCATAAATTAGGTGACTATATATGTGTGCGTTTATCTCTGGGCTTTCTATCCTGAACCATTGATCTATATTTCTGTTTTTGTGCCAGTACTATACTGTCTTGATTACTGTAGCTTTGTAGTATAGTTTGAAGTCAGGGAGCCTGATTCCTCCAGCTCTGTTTTTCTTTTTCAAGATTGCTTTGGCACTGTAACACTGCACATGTGTCACTTTTACATCACCACCATCCAAAGGGCAGACATCATTCAAGACTCACAATAGCCAAAATAGCCAAAGTAAGTGAGTCTTGAATGATGTCTGCCCTTTGGATGGTGGCGATATAAAAGTGACACACGTGCAGTGTTACAGTTTCACTACATGAATATCCCAAGTTTGATGGTTGTATTGTATAAGGGAAGTGTGCTAGCACTGCTCTTCAAGTCTGAATGTATATTCAAATCTCCTGGGGATCTTTTTAAAATGCAGATTCTGATTCAGCGGGTCTCAGTGGGGCCTGAGATTCTGTCAGTCTAACTAGCTCCCAGGCGACACCCATGCTGCTGGCCCAGCGACCGCACTCAAAGTAGCAAGGGTCTAGGAAACCCATGGAGGACATTCACTCTTTGCCTCTTAAACATCCACCTTCCCCCTTCTTTTGGTTCCAGACTCTGGTTTTCCTTTGGGGATCATTCCCTGCCTGCTTTCTGTGCACCTGTTTTGGGTCAGCTTGTCCTCAAGGCTCAGGCATGAAGCATGTGACCTGGGCCTGCTCCATCCCATACTGAGCCACTGTGGAAGGTTCCAGGTTGGTTCTGAGACTCAGCCAGGGCCAGTGAGATGCAACTGTAAGAGTCCTGGCTGAGCTGGCACAGTGTCTATAAACCTCTTCATCTTCTGGAGCCTTCCTTGGCTTCCAAGCCTCACAGTGGCTCAGACTTGCCTTCTGCCCACTAACTCCTAAAGGCCTCGAAGGCCTTTCTGACCCCACATGACTCCACCACATAGTAGCCCTGTGACCTTACTTAGCAGACAATTACTCTGTGCCTCTCTTTCTTCATCTATAAAACAGGATACTGTCCACCACAAAGGGTTGTTTTAACAGAGAAATTAATGACGTGATCCAAATAAATAAAGTGTTTTGCCCTGAACCTGGTGTGGAGCAATTGCTCAGTAAATATTTAATTGTTCAGTTTGGCTTTTGGAGCCCATTACCTCACCCAGAAAGAAGGGATGGTACCTCGCTGGTATGTTTTAGGTCCTTTTCTATACTGAGAATGGCTCAACAGAGTTTGAGGACCCTGGAAGATGAAGCCAAATATTCCACTAACTATTATGTTGTTGTTTCCGCATAGCCTAACTACTCGATTCATACCTAATTTGCTCCTGTCTTGTATTAGTTGCCTATGCAAATACATATCAAAAGGAAATAAATTAGCGACACTGTAGGTGTCCCCAAGTATGGTTTTCAGATTCCCAGTAAATCGCAAGCTCTGGCCGGGGATCAGAAATATCTTTCGACTGTCTTTATTCTACTGCCATCCTGTGGCCAGCCTGTGCCACTGCAGCACTGTGGACAGGATGTAGCTGAGCTTTGTGTTCTCACGGTCCTCTTTGTGCCTGGGAAGGGTCTCCTTGGGAGAAAGTGCAGTGGAAGGGCCTTCTCGAGTCCCCCACCGGCGGGCAGGAGTCTGGGCGTGAATCACCAGTCCTGACTTGACTTCTGTTTGATGAACTTTAAGGACATATAGTACAGGACCATGAAGCCACCACTGATGCCTATGATGAAGAGGTAGATGGCGTAGAGAGGGTATGAGCCCAGGCCCATGGCGTTGAGGATCTGGGGACAAGAGACATCAGTGAGCTCATTAAGAACATGCTCAGACGGCTGCCATCTCTTTAGCGTCCAAAGCCTTGGCTCCTTACCATGTCTCCCGGGATAGGGATGGTGATGTTGCCAGCTGCCAGGTGATACGTGTGCCCACCAAACTGGATCTGCATCAGCCCTTCAAAACACCATCGGAGGAAGGACATCTTGGAAATCCACGCGGGCACTGGAGGCGGTGAGAGTCACATTACTCACACAGTCTAATCATCTGCTCCCTGGGAAGTAAGCCTGGAGAGTGGCCATGGTGGCTCTGACCCAAGGACAGCAAGTCCCCTGAGGGAGCAAGGAGGGGTGGGGGTGAGAACAAAAGGGTGAACGGGCAGAGGGGAAGCTCGGGACATGGACTGGGGCAGAGGGACCTAGTGGCTGCAGGATCACCGCACGTTTGACCCATAATAACCCCAGAGAGTGTCAGGTGTCAGGTGTCCAGCATGTGCTCAGCTTCACACAGCTTACGGACTGGGGAGACTCAGCAGCCCCAAGCCAGAGATTACTGAGTCTGCACCCTGACCCTGCGGAGGCATCACGGTTCAGGGAGGAGGAGGAGGAAGGAACCCTGATCGCACAGGACAGGAAAGGCCTGTGGATGGGAGCGGGTGGCATTCCTATAGAGAAGGGATGCACAGGCTCCATCGTGAGAGCATGGAGTGTCCTGGGGGCTTCAGAAGAGCTGGGGGAGGCAGCAGGGAATGAGCAGCCCCAGGAACACTCGGGGAAAGCAGTGGCTGGATCTGCACCTTAGGAAGCTCGCGCTGCATGGATGAGGGTTGAGAGGGGACATGGAGGAACCAGGGTCACAGATACCGGCCTATCACAGTGGCCCACGATGGGCTGATGGGGCCAGGGTTGGGGGGTAAGGCAAGAGGACACTTCAGAAAGACACAGGAGGCAGAACTGACTTGGCTCACTGGTGACGTGGAGGGTGAGGGAGAGTCAAGGGTGGGCCCTGGGTGTCAGCCGGGCTGTATGAGAAGGTGTCATCTGCACCACGCCCCACTCCCCCTGTGTGGAGCCACTCCCTTGGCACCTGCTCCCAGAAGTCGGACCTAAGGGTTGAGCTCTCATCTCCAGGGGAAAGCAGGCCAATCCAGCCACAGAAGGCCTCAAGAAGCTTGACCAGGTGAGGGGAGCAGGCCTCACCTGTCCACAGGTTGTCCAAGCTTATCATGAAGCCCCCAGTGAGGTAGAAGGAGTTGTAGAGAGCGTTGCCGAAGAAGGAGGACATGTGGAAGGTGGGGAACAGGGCGGCGGTGGCCATGGCCATGGTTCTGCAGCAGAAGACCACCAGCCATACCAGCAGGAAGTGCAGCAGGAAGGGCTCGGGGCCCGGGCGCAGGTTGGCCAGCCAGTAGGTAGGCATCCCATAGATGATGATGTAGATACAGTGCTCGGGAAGCTCCCCTAGGATCTGCGAAGGACAGACCTTGCAAGGATGTGGAGCCAATGCCTTCATCTGCTACTGTTCTTTAAATGTTCAAAAGTAGCAGCCCCCAGTGACACCAACCTTCCCTCCTGGTGGTTTGATGGGGGTTGCAGCACGGAGGGCTGGTGGGCGTGGGTGTGTGGGACTCTCAAGCATGAGCTCACTGCTGGCTTCCCCCTGCAGATGTCATGTGCTCCCTCTGGGGCAGTTCAGAGCTCCTAAGACCTGGTTTCAAGTCCCCACCCTGCCTGCCCAGACCTGATAGCTGTGTGGCCTTGAGACAGCCACATAACCTCTCTGAGCCTCTGCTTCCTTGAAATGAGGACAGTCACACCTGCTTGACCCACTTCCCAGGGACATGGTGAGACTGGAGAGGTGAAGTATGCTAGATGTTTCCCACCTCTTCTTTGTTAGGTTTCTGAGGACCAGAAAAACGTCATTCCTGGTCCATAGTCCTGGCCTTGTAGTAAATGTTTAAACAATATCAAGTCTCTGAAACTCCCCAGAGCAACGTGGCATTTGTAACCACAGATGATGCATGGCCCCACAGTTCAGCAAAACGCTTCCCTGTAACTTCTGTACAACGTGGAGCAGCTTTTTCTGCTCCTCCTCCTACCCAGGGTGGCCACTCACTCTCAGGCCTGACCAGTCACCTTGGCAAAGAAATACGGCTCCGCAGTGTACAGCCCATCTTCTAGTTCATAGTAAAGCAGCGCCCTCTCTGAGTGACCTAGAAAGGGGAGAAAAGGAGAATGAAAAAGTGAAATTAATTTACAGTGTCTCTGTTTCTGAGTCTCTCTTAGTACAATTAAAAATAGTTTTACTGCCTCAATGTCATGTATTTTTTTTAAAAAACAGGCAATTTTAGATCCTAATTTAGATGTTTGTAATTCTGTGAGTTCTGCATTGCTGTCAGTATAACTCCTGCTAGGACAGGAATGCCTCAGACTCCTTGGTAATTTGTTCTCATTTGCATACTAATACTAATGTTCTAACTTGAAAAACAACCATCATCTTTTATTTCACAGTCAGGGTGAAATTATTCAGTAAACCCGTCTTCTCCAGGAGCTCAGAGGAACTCAGGCCGGCCCTGGACTAGCTCATTGCATGGCCGACGCTGCTCCACGTGTGGGTCATGGAGAGCAGGCCACACTCACATTTGGCAATGACATCCAGGATCACGTTGAAAGGGACGAGAGCTCCGATCATGAACAAGACGGCCACCGTGTCCATGAAGGAGAGCTTGACGGCTCCATGGCCATAGTAGAGGAACCCGATGATCAGGGACATCAAGCAGGCCTCTGCCCCGTGGATGAGGAGGGCTGGCAGGTCTCGGAAGTCATTGGAAATCTGACGACTTAAAAAACAGAATAAAGATGTGCCAAGGGACAATAGGCACCAGCACTGTGACCTTGGCAATGTCCTTGAATCTCCGTAAGGCTCATTTTTCTCCTCTGTACAGTGGGGAGGGCAGTGCCCACCTCACAGTTACTGTGAGGGATCAAACGAGAAAATCGATGAACGCATCTGTCTCACAGTAGGTACTCAGTCAATGATTGTGACTTTTATCACCACTGTATCACCTTGCTATTTTATTTAAAGAGTTATCCTGAGGAAATAACCAATCAAGAGCGTAAAGGTGTATGTACAAGGATGTTTGTCATAGAGTTACTTGTAATAGCAAATGACTGAAGGTAATCTGACCATCAATATGGACTTAATGGGTAAATGAATTATGGCTAGATTTGGAAACCCTGAGGAAGACCTAACCAGATGAGAGGCAGAGGCGCTATTCTAAGGCGGGGGGGAAAAAAGGTTACGGAACAACACGTGTGATCCCATTTATGTATTAAAACGGTTATGTGCATGGAAACATCTTAGACTCACACCAAACACTCAGGTCTGGTTTTCTCTGAGGGCCGGTGGATCAAGGAACCTTCCCTTTCTACTTGAGGGTCTCCTGTGTCAACTGAATTTTTCATAGTCATTCTGGGTGATTTCTACGAGCATCTGGCTATCAAGGAAATTTTGATTTTGTTTAAATAATCAAAGTAAGAGGAATGCTCTGTAGCACATGGAGGGCTGGTGCTGGTTTTTTCCAAATGATTCTGCCTCTTCAAATTCAAATTCCTCTTTCAAATTCACTTTAGATCCAAAGGGCTTAATTTGATACAACAAAGACTTTTGGGGAGTGTGTGTGTGTGTGTGTGTGTGTGATGAAATGGTAATTACCGGATCAGCATGTCAAACTGCTGTAGGGGGCCAGGCAGCTTAGTGGGAGGCTGTAAGGGGTTGGTGTCCCTCGGGGAAGCTGGGCTGTCAGGAGACAGAGAGTGTCATGGGGGCTTGGGGGCGGCCAACTTTTGCAGGGCGCTCTTCACGCAGGGCCACCTGGCTGCCTTACCTCTGCACGTAAGTGCCCACACCCTGCTCCCTTGACTCCACTGTCCACAGAAAGTCATCGAAGCCACGTATTCTTTCTTGAAACAAGGCTGCAAGGGACTGAGCCTTCTCCCTGGTGGCCACTTCCTGCTCTTGGCTTCGCCTGTCGATGCTGGTCAAGTCCACTGTAAGCAGAGGGCGACCCGGGCCCCGCAGGTGCTCACAGCCCATGACACTGGTCAGCCCCCGGGGCCCCCGGGACATGATCCCCACCTTCTGAGAGTGGACCATGAAGTGACGGTCAGAGCAGAGAGAGGCAGAGAGCTGCCCAGGACTGTCCCCGATGTCTACAGAGAGCCTTCCTCGGGAGAAGGGCCAGTGAACACTGGCACTGGTCCCACCAAGCAGGCTTATTATGGGGACATCCCCAGGACAGAGAAGGAGGCTTTGGGCTTTTGGAGCCCAAGGCCACAGCACAGTTATGCCCTGGCTCTAACTCCAGCCGTCCAAGAAGCTTGTGATGAGGACTCAGCCTCCCGGGCGTGCCCACCATGGGGAGAAGGCAGGCTGGCCACGGGGAGGCTGAGCAGTCTGGCTCCCAGCAGCTCTAGTTCTCAATGCAAATTAGTCATTTTGGCTTCCCAAGCAGCCTGCCCAAAAGGGAAGAATGTTTTGGCTGGAGGGTGCCAGGGTCTGGCCAAATATTAAGTGTAATTCTCAGTGTCCCGGGAGGAGGGAGCCAGCACGACCAGCTGGAGAACAGGCTGGGCCGCACGCACCTCCATGTCACCCCCGCTGGTAGCACCTGGTAGCCCCAGACCACAGCCCTCCTCTCCTGGGGCCCCTGAAATGCCAGAAGGGCACACCCGCCAGTCACAGCCAGGGCCTTCCTAGGCCTCTCCTCCCTCCATCCCCCCCTTGGTCAGGGGATCCCTCTTAACCTCTCTGCCCCTTCCCTCCTCCCATTTTCATGACACATCTCAAGGCGGGATAACGTCTCGGAGAGGCCTTGTAAACCATGAAAGGTCCCTTCAGTGTGTGGGGCCCTAGCTTCAAACGCCAGATTCTCTGCCAGACCGTGGGGCCCGGATCCGTGAGGGCCATCTGCCCCAGGGTTTGTGGGCAAGAGCTCCCCCCGCCACCCAAAAATGATAATAATATAAAATTAAGAAAAAGAAAATTTGTTTTTTCAGATCTGGGCACCTGACTTCTGGTAACTTCTCTCTAGGGCTACAGCATATTGTTCCCAAAGGCCAGGCTGGCAGGTGCCCTCTACCCCCTTATCTGGGGGTGACCAGCCAGAGGATGACACACTGGCAGGAAGCCAAACTGGCACGTGGGCACAGGGAGGGAGGGTGACCTCTAGGTGAGTTCACACAGTGGCAGTGAGTGCAGAGGGCGAGGGCTGGTGGGCCAGAGAGAGTGGCCTGTCCTCCTAGGGGAGAGTTGGAGGGTAGATGCCGGGAGGAAGGTGTGGGCAGCAGGGCCTGGAGTCTGGGAGGGGCTGGGCTGGGAGGTGGGAGGCCCAGTTCTGCCGCCTGATTATAAGGACTCCAGTTTTCTCATCTATAAGGACGAAGATGACCGTGGCATGGCAGGGCTGTGAGGGTCAAAGGGACACCCTCTGGTGCTTGGCACCTGTGGGCACAGTGTCTGCCCTCAAGGAGCTGGTCCTTGTCATCATGTTTACTGGGGAGGCCCTTGCTACACCAGGCCATCCTGGGAGGAAGGCTGGGCTCCAGGTGACCTATGTTTGGGACAAGCCCCAGCTGCTGCTTCCCCAGCCCTGGTACAACCACGCAGCCTGTCCGGCAGCCACAGCATTCCTCAGCACTCAGGATCCAGGCACCTGCTTTCAGGGTGGGCACCTGGAAAGGCAACTGTCCCCACAAGAATTGAGGGCCATATGCTGAGGCCTCAGGACCCCAAGCAGAAAGGCATCTCTGGTGCTGACTGCAATTTTCATACCTAGAGATTCATTGGCCAAGACCACCAAAAAGCCTGAGCTGGCCTGGGCCCTGGGTCCCCCTCCACCACCCAGAGCCTCTGGGCTCCCTGCCTTTGTGGGGGAACCAGGGCACGGCTTTAAGATTTCCTGGTGGTTTCCGACCTCTAATATCCTGTTTCCCTACAGAATCTGAATGAAGACCACAGTTCCAGAAATGGATCCAAACTCTCTTGGATTATATCTCCTCCGGTTTGGAGCTCTCCGAAGGTTCTTATCTGTCATGCACACAAGGGTGGCTATGTCAGAAGCTGCTTTCTTCAGGCCCCCATTCCTAGCATTTGATGCTTGGCAAACTGAAGCCTGTAATACACCCCATCTGCCCCCCTGTCTCCATGCTCGGTCCTGTTCTCCTGAAGCTTCTGAGAGTTTCTCTCCTGGCGGGGTTCGGGGTGTAGGGGAGCCCTGTTCCTTGCCTCTGGCCTGGCTGGCTCACCATAGTAGTCGGCAGGGTTGCTGTAGCGGGGACAGGGGTGGCCGGCTGCCGTGAAATACTGGACCATGTGCTGGGCTGCCCCCAAGTAGATGGTGGTCCCGGACGTCATCAGGAGGACCAAATCAAACAGCCTGAAGATATCGGAGCGAGGCTGGTGGATGGAGAGGAGCACCAGCCTGTTGCCTTTGGCCAGCCTGGACAGGGTTTTCACCAGGTTGTGGGCCGTGAAGCTGTCGAGGCCAGAGGTGGGTTCATCCAGGATGAGGATTCCTTCCCAACAAAGAGAAGCCTGGTTAAGGGGCAGGGCTCCGGCTGGACCGGATTAAGCCAGGCGGGCGGTGCAGGCCCCTGCTGCCTCACCTGGGTTCCACAGCAGCTGCACTGCGATACTGACTCTGCGCCGCTCGCCCCCGGACACGCCCCGCACGTAGGAGTTACCCATGAGCGTGTTGGCGCATTGGCGCAGCCGCAGCTCCGCGATCACGTCGTCCACCTGGGAGGCAGGGGCCTGCGGGTTTAGGAGGGCTGCGCCGGCCTGCTCGCGGCCTGGCCTGTGGCGACCCACAGTGGAAAGACGCCTGGGTTTACGGCGCCAGCCTTCATTTCCCCGATTCAACGTTTGTTCCCTGATTCTTTCCACACATCCAGAGCAGCTCCCATGTGCCGAGCACAGCACCACTTACTGGGAACGTGGCCATGCCCTGGCTTTCTGCCCGCACGGAGAACCGGAAAACAAGTGAGCAAATATTCATCACACATTTGGGGCTGAGATGGGACTTTCAAGGAAAACGGGGGATGGAGGGGCAGGGCTGAGCGCACGGTGGACGTTTTCGGACGGACAGATGGTGAGCTGGGTCGCTCAAACTTGACCTGTGGCCGGACCCTGAGGCAGGAAGTGAGGGACGGGGAGGGGAAGGGTGTTTTGGCTCCTTGGGGGTCACTGGGGTCTGTTAGTTACCCTTTTGTCACGCTGGGCCTGGGAGAAGTCTCTGGGCAGGCGCAGCTGGGCAACAAAAGCCAGGGTCTCGCGGACGGTCAAGTTGGGGAGCAGCTGATCGTGCTGTCGCACGTGAGCCACGCACTTCCTGACCAGCTGGGGCGTGCTGTGCTGCCCGTTGATCCAGATTTGGCCTGACTTAATCTTGCCGCCGTGGCCTCGCCCGGTGATCACATCCAGCAAAGAGGCTCTCCCACAGCCTGAGGAGCCACCAGAAGTATCCCTGAGAGCGGAGCTTCTGCGGGGGCCAGCCTGGAAGCCACTGCCGCCTGTGCGCTCTCCAGACTGCTCTGTCCTTGCAGATGTAACCAGCCCTCAGGGAAGGTGGCACAGCTCTCAGACCTGCCTGGGGCAGCCAACTTGAGCATCCTGGGGGGTGCGGGGTGTTCAGGCCACGTCGGCCTGTGGCTGCGTGACAGAAGGCTGGAGTCCTAGTTGCCGCATGACTGCCTATGCCTGGAGCGATGCCCCCCCCCCCCTTCCAAGCAAGGCTGGTGTTAATTGCACTGTGAAGCTTAACTATTTTTGCCTGGCAAACATGCCGGCAACATTTCATCATTCAAACATCATTTGGCTCAGAAGCTGGCGTTGTGGGAAGAACTAATTTTGGAGAATTAATAGGGTGTCTCTTAAAAATGCAAAATTGGAACGTATTTTCAGAAAGGGAGAAAAACAGAGAAGTAATAAATGTGGAAATGATTTTAAAACTACAGTACAGTGTGCCTATGGGTTCTGAATTTCTCTACACCCTCTGCACTCATTTTTCTCAGTAGTACCTTCCACTCTTAAAAAAAAAAAAGGATCCATGACACGCAAATTAACACCATCCACTTCTGAATGACATAGTGATTGCTATCAATTTGGGGACGTAAGTGTCAGATTGGATCAGCTTCCATGAGATTCCATGAGACTCTTTCTCTGGCAGCCACTTTAACTGTAAATGCAGATAGGGTTCAGGCTCTGAGAAGGCCTTCTTGCAAAGGTGCTGGGAATAGCGCAGTCCAATTCCCCCAGGTGGGGGTTTGGTTTCCTTATTGCAAACTCCTTTTGGAGGGCGAATTTTTCAAGTTGTTTTAAACAGGGAAAACTCCAATACACAGTGTAACAGCGCTTCCTTACCACAAGTCCAGGCCTTCCACAGGCAGCCCCCTGCCCCCAGTGCAACAAAGTTCCAGAGGCCTTCCCGGTGATCCGGCTGCTTACCTACTGGAGGTTCTCAGGGTGGAAGGGGACCTGTACGCTGCCTCCTGGGTGTACCTCATTCAAGGTCCCTGAGAACTTAGGTGGCAAAAAATAGCCAGGAGAGAAACCAGAGGGGAGGGCTCTGGCCCTGCTCCCGGCTCAGCCTCGGACATCATAGGGTCCAGGCTCTGGGAGCGCAGGGGACTTTGCTAACATTTACAGAGACCTTAGGATTCCCAGTCAGGGAGCAGGGTGACTACATTTCCTAGACAAAACCGTGGGAGGTGTGGGCAGCCTTTCCAGGGGAGGTTGCCAAGTATATTTGGGGAGATCCTCTGTGAACCAGGAGAAAACACCCACAGGCATTCAAGACCCTTATAAAATGGCTGGAATCTCCAAATCAGTAAATTAATTCGCCTTTGGCACTACTGCTGATTCTATAGAAGAAGCTAAAATGCCTGGGGGGCTGTTTTAATTAGTTTCACTTTACTGTTATAATTTTGGTGAGCGGAGTATAGATCACAGGTGGTATAATTGGTAAACCTTTCTAAGAAATCATTTAAATAATTTCAGCCAAGTAAACCTGCAGCTAAACCACACTGAGCCTAGAGTCGAAAGTTCTGGAGATGCTCAGTGTGATTCCTGCTTGGCCTCTCCCGACTGCCCTTTTCTTCAGCCGCAAATCAGGGTTGCTAACAGCTGCAGGACTGTGTGTGGCCAGGATTAACAATCATGACACTCAGCTTTGTGGAAGTGCCTAGTAAGGCCCATATGCCCCCTCGACTCTCAGTTCATGAGAAAAAGCAGGTATAACCAGAAAAGCCACCAGGTGTTACAGACAAAAACAAAATTGGCCTGTGAAGTTTGCACATTTTTCTTGTTTAGATCCGAATTGCAGGGGCAGGACCAGAAGTTGGCGAGACTTGATCTGTGGGAGTTGTTTCGGTTACAAAGTGCATTTGCACACATCGTCGCATTTGATCTTCGGTTAGACAATAAACAGAACTTTTCCGCATCAGAAGACTAAAGACTAAAATGTTCAAAAAGTTGAGTAATCTCTACTTCTGGAAATGATTAATTGAAAGGTATAAAGTGCTCCCTCTAACACTGTGTAAGGGAGAAATGCCTTGATCTGTGTTTAAAAAGAAAGAAAGAAAGAAACAGCAAACCCCAAATGGAGTCACCTGTCCTAAGCCCCACACCACCGGACTGAGACTTAATACCTAACTTAATTACAGTTTCAATCTCTCCCGGGAGTGGAATCTTAAACCAGCCCATCTGACATTACCTGGTAAGCACTGATAGACCCCTACTGTCCCCCAAAGGAAGGTGACCTTGCCTAACACAATCAGCCCTTTGCTAGAATAACTTCCTTGTCCTCCCTCCTTCTGCCTATAAAAGTCTTTCATTTCGTACAGCTCTCCAGTGCTACTTTCTGTCTGCCAGTTGGATTGCTGCCCAATTCATGACTCGTTGAATAAAGTCAGTAAGATCTTTAAAATTTAATCAGTTGAATTTGTTTCATCATCTGAGAACCAGGAGACCAGAGTTCTAGTTCTTGCTCTGCATTAAATGTATGTCCTTAGACATCATTCCTCTTTTCTAAACTTTGGTCTTCTCATCTGTCAGATGAAGGGGGAGTGGTATGGGGCAGGAAGATACTCTAGCAATATTGAGAACTAGGTAGTTTGAAAACCCTCCTCTAAAGATGCTTCCAGGCTGGTCAGGAGGAAGAAAGGTAGAATACAGTGGAAGGGAAAGAACTCTGTTCTCCAAGCCCCCTTCCAGTTCTGGCATTCTACACTTTTAAGTTTGGCCTGCAGAAGTGACTTTTTTTTTTTTTTTTTTTTGCGGTACGCAAGCCTCTCACTGTTGTGGCCTCTCCCGTTGCGGAGCACAGGCTCCGGATGCGCAGGCTCAGCGGCCATGGCTCACGGGCCTAGCTGCTCCGTGGCACGTGGGATCTTCCCGGACCGGGGCACGAACCCGTGTCCCCTGCATCGGCAGGCGGACTCTCAACCACTGCGCCACCAGGGAAGCCCAGAAGTGACTTTTTGAAGCACTCCAAAAATCTGGATCTTTGCAGATGGTTGAAGGTTGAGCTAAGACTTGGGGTATCTGAGAAGTGAATTGTGGCAGGGGCTGTGCCTACCCACTGTTTGACCAAAACAGGAATCTGATTCAGGGGGAGCAATCAATGAGTGCTTCCTGTGGTGGAGGAGTACCCTGGAAAGAATATTCAATTCCAAAGCTGCATGATGCTTTTGGAAAGGCCTTACCTTGATATTAATGAAGGACCAAAACTCTGACTGTAGCTGTAAGAGGCCCACTCATGATTCATAAGGGCAGTGACTGCCTGAGAGCAAGTAAATGGAGGAGCTGAGATTTGAACCCAGCTGTCAGACCCAGAACTTGTGCTCTTATCACTCTGCTATATTATTCTACTGGTCAGCAAAGCGTTCTGTAAAGAGCATCTGTTTGTTTGAGGGACCACTCTGCATCCCAGGAGAGAGAGAACCCATTGCCCAGCTATTTGCCCTTATTGGTACCTGAGCTCCCTATGACGGCCAGCATCTGTCCACTCCTCACTTTGAAGCTCAGATTCTGAATGCCTAGCTCACAAGAGTCCTTGTGAGATGTCCAGGGCATCCTGAAGTGAGACAGCTGCTTAAACCAAGGCACCTGGGAGGCTATGTCCACCTGTGGGGAGACATGAAAAGGTTCCTCAGAGAGCTTCACTTCTGTTCAGCTCCCTCCAGGAGACATCCTCCTGTTGATACAAAACAGGACTGAGGGGTCACCCACTCAGGTTCTACCAAACATGGAGGTGGACCCCACCATGCTGAGAACCCGAAGCTGCCATTTCCAAGTCTGAAGAGAAGACTTGGGAAGCATGTGTAATAGCAGAACAGAAATAAATACAAACATGGAGGGACTTCCTTGGTGGCCCAGTGGTTAAGAATTCTCCTGCCAATGCAGGGGACATGGGTTCGATCCCTGGTCTGGGAAGATCCCACATGCCGCAGAGCAGCAAAGCCCGTGAGCCACGACTACTGAGCCTGCATTCTAGAGCCCGCAAGCCACAACTACGGAAGCCCGCACACCTAGAGCCCATGCGCTGCAACAAGAAAAGCCACCGCAGTGAGAAGCCCGCGCACCACAACAAAGAGTAGCCCCTGCTCGCCGCAACTAGAGAAAGCCCGCGTGCAGCAACAAAGACCCAATGCAGCCTAAAAAAAAAATACACAACATAAAAATATTAAAAAAAAACACAACGTGGAGCAAAACAATGCTTTTATTTAATAGTAATTTACTAATAACTTACCGGGCATTTACTGTGTGCAAGGCATTGTATTCATCTGCTTATTATATCCATTATCATTCAGTCCTCATTGCAAACCTACTATAACGTATGTACTGTTATAATCCCTGTTTACAGATGAGGCTCAGAGCAGTGAAGTAACTTGCTCAAGGTCACACAGCTAGTAAGTGGCAGAGCAGAGAAAGGTTATGGTGGGGCTTGTCAGCTTGTTCTAACTCACTTCCCCAGAAGCCAGACTTGGGCCTCCGAGGTTTACCATCCCAGGTCTCAGCATGTTCTGCCTGGGCCACCTCGTATCTGGCCCTGGGGAGGCGTGGGAAATAGGGGTCCTAGAATCTGACCAGGAGATTCCTGACAGCCTCTGAAAGGGCAGCAGTCCTTGCACTCTGATATTTTATTAGCTCCAGGGAAGTACATTTTACAAAAAGAAAAAAAAAAAATATATATATACACACACACACACATATGTGTATATATATGTATGTAAAACTGATGAGATCTGAATAAAGTCTGTAGTTTGGTTAATCGTATTATATCATGGTTAATTTCTTAGTTTTGATCACTGTGCTATGGGTAAGCAAGATGTTAAAATTAGGGGAGGGTGGGCAAAGTGTATATGGGAACTCTGCACTATTTTTGCAACTTTTTCAAAAGTCTAAAATTATTTCAAAATATAAAGTTAAAAATGAGTTTTAGAGATTTTTTCCCACGGGCTCACATGGTTGGCTTTATGTTTTAACAAAGATCTCATTGTCTTTTTCATGTCTGTCAACCTCCAGCTCCAATATGTGTAGTTGACGGACGTCTCCGTGGTGCTTGCAGCCAAAACGTGAGGTATCACTGTGGCCTGGACTCCGTCCTTAGGGCAGAGGGCCCCCAGCTGGGTTCACCCTTCCCTTCCACTTGGGGAATTGTTTGGCCCTCCCTGCCTGCTCCTCCCACCTGCACTCAGGTGTGCCTCTACCTGGTAGCTGAGATCTCGGACCTCCAAGGTATTGGACTGGCCACTGTAGGTGAAGTACAGGCTGTTGTCACTTTCAGAGGAGAACACGCTGTCCTGGAGGCCCTGCCGGGAAACATGACAGGTGAGGGGCTCCTTCAGAAGGAGGAGGACATAGGAGAAAACAGAGAGAGGAGACCCAGAGAGGTGAGAGCAGGAGCTAGCGTGGGTGAGATCCGAGTGGACAAGAGATGGATTTGCAGGAGGAACCCAAGGGCTCTGAGGAAACAGGAGCATCCATGAGGGCAGGGCTCCGCCTCCCTGCAGAGAGAGCTTTGGGGCTTCCCTCCAGCACAGCCTCTGGCCCCAGAGAAGCTCAACCGCAGGCTGCTGGAAGCTGAACGCAGATCTCTCTTGGAAGAGACCCAGACCCTGGACTGGAGAGAGCTTCGTGAGCCTCTGTGCTCAGAGAAGACCTGGGCTGGGGGCTGGCCTTTAACTTTCTCTTCCCTGCATCTGGCTTAGTATCTCCTGATGCCAAACAGACTTTCCATACCCAGCATGTGAGAGGAAGACCGCTATCAACAAGCTAGTGCTCGGTACTTGTGAAGACACTACCATTAGAGGAGTTGCATCTTATCTTGGTAACGATTTTTCACAACAAAGCTCTTCAAAATGCTGTTGGGAGATTTTAGAGGAAGTCCCTGTCATCACCATCGTTGTCATCCTCCTCCTCATCACCATCTTTTTGCTGTTTTTGGAGTGCTGCTTTATTTGAATGTACATCAAACAAATCAATGCTTCATGGTATCAGCTGATAACTTCGAATGATATTAACCATCTGCAGATCTGAGTTCCTTCTGTTTTATCAATTCAATCATTTAAATCACTGAGGCCCAAGCAAGGAAGAACCTGCCTCATAAGATTTCTGTTATTTTTTTTTTAACATATTCAATTTTTCTTTCATTGCAGCAGTGCAGGGGAAAGTACACATTCATTAATAAGTTCCTGTTGATAACAAGTTCCTGTTGATTCCGATCTCCCCTCAGAGCTGCCATTCCCCCACTGATGTGTTCCTTCAATCAATCAATCAAGCATCCAACAAATACTTATGGGGGCCCACATCATGCTTTAGTCTTGAGTTTGGGGTGTGACTGTGAAAAGAACAGTCTTTGAGAAGCTTAGATTTCAGTGGATGAGACAGGTGATGAGGATGGAGCAAGACAGGCAGACGTAGAGGCAGGCTGACCTTGAGCACCCAATCAGGCTATATTTTCACTGTCTCCGCAGCGTCCGTGTGCTTTATGTGGAAACAACATGGCTTGTGACTTCTGTGAAAATAACATCCAGCAGTCTTTGTCAAAGCATCCCTGCAATGTTGGAGGTAAAAGGTCCTTAAAAGGGACATTGAGACCAATGGAAGTGGAGGGAAGTAAATCCGGGGGACAGTCTGCTGCAGGCTCACTGTGAGTACCCCCAGAGTTCTGGGAGAGTGTGGAAACAGCAGACCATAGCTACTTACCTTGTTTAATGTTTAAACCAGTACAGTAAAGATCGTATATTATATAGAAAAACATAGGAAAGATCAACAGCTAAGTCAGCAGAAGGACTGTCTTTGGGGTATAGGAAGGGTTACAGGAGGGAAGGGTCCATGGTGGGTAGGGGGAGTGGATGGGCTTCAAAGCTATTGGTAATTTGTGATGGGTATGGAAGTTCACCATTCTTTAAACTGCTTTGTCTGAAATATTTGTCAAAATATGTTGTCAAGTTGAAAGAGTGTGTCCGTGAGGAGAAGTCCAGAGTTCCGCTCTCACCTCGACCCCCAGCTGCAGGAGGCGAGAGGGTCACGCCCTCGGAGATGGAGAATGAAGCTGGTGGGGAGGTCACGGGTAGCTCTGGATTCCGGCGGGTCGGCCCTGCAGCCCTGCCCCTCAGTCACCACCTGCACAACGGGCATTCCCACTGCCTAGTTTTCCTGTTGTATTTGGTTGAACCATCAGAAAGTCTGTCCATTGCTGAGAGACTCATTTGGGCTAACATGCATCCTGCTTGTTTGTTCTTAAAAGGTAAATATCTGCAGGAGGAACATTAGTCAATTGTAGAAGGTATGAGTTAGCTCAGAATTTGCTTCTGCAACAAACAGCTGGGCCAGAATCTCCCCAGGTTAGATTTGGAGGTGGAGGTGCTGCTGAGAAAGGAGGGCTGGACACTTTGGAGTCTGGAGCAGTGTGTGGTGGTGACCTTAAGCCTAGAGGCTTCCACTCTCCAGGTGGGAGCTTGGAGGAGGTGGAGGGTGCTGGGGCCCTGGGGAAAGAGGTATCAGATGGGAAGACAGATGAAAGGAAGGAGAGAGGTGCATGCTCCCTGCTCCCGGGCTAAGTCGGCAGGCGCAGGCCAGCCAGGGGCCCCAGCCACCATCAAGGGCCTGTGCTATCCAGAGCTGCGTAGACCGCTCCACTTTCAGAAGAAGAGAATTCGTGGCTAGGCTGGGGACCACCTCTGTTCCATTTTGAAATATTTTCCTTGGCTCCCAGGAAGGATTTGTTAGAGGCTTCCTGAGGTTTTGACAAACTCTCTGTATTTTTCAAATGCTTAAATATCTGTTCAGCTGACATCTTAATCAGTATGACTGTCAGAACATCACTTGAATTTCTGACAGGTGACACCCAAAAAAGCAAAAGCAGGTTTATTTGTAGGTAACCAGCTCGGCTGCTGCTGGGCTACATTGTAATTTCTCCTTGTATTAACTTCTGATCAGATTCCTGAGTCAGAAGCATAGAGGAGAAGGAGACTCGGGGAGCGCAGAACCCAAGTTCCTTGCTCTAAGATGAGGAACCCGTGCCCTGGAAAAGTAGTGTCATGCTGAGGACTCCACACAGAGGCCTCAGTCCCTCTTGTCCTCTTCTGGCCGGGCTTTTGCCCACAGACCGAGGAGCCTGTGGGCCGAGGGCGCCTGCCATTCTACGTACCTGCGACCCCAGAATTCCCTGTGCAGGTGGCCACAAGTCCACTCCCAGGGCTGCATGAACTTCGTCTCAGGCCTATCCTCCTGGGCACCCCAGGCCAGAGGGGCATTTGTTTGTGGAGGGTATGGATGGAATGTGGGTGGGCAGGATGGGGTGACCACGTAGGGGTGTGTGTGGTCATGTGTGGCGTTGGGTGTGGGCAGATAAGGGAGACAGGCTGTGGCTTGGGCTGGAAGCCACAAATCCTAGAATTTTTCAATTTACACCTGGCCTTGCACATTGTGAAGAAGGTATGTCAAGCTAAGGGGATAAAAACTATTTTATTTAATAGCTTTTAACTTGACTGGTAACTTTTAAATATCTAGACATAGGGTACATAGCCCTCAGCCTCTTGTTCCAGGCTCCATAAATGTTAGGGGCAAACTGTCGCTTGGCACCTTGAATAACGGGAGTGGAGAAAAGGCAATTGGAAATGGCAGGGCCTGCACACGTTCCTGGATGTCAGATTCGGGCAGTTCTTTGCATCCCAAGCGGTGGTGGCTGAATTGTCAGACCTTCTAGAAAGTGTCCCCAAAGCCACGGGGGACTTTGTCTCCTGGTCAGGCTGAGAGCAAGCACTGCAGTCACGGCTCCTAGGAATCCTTTCCTGGCAGGGGTCGGCCCCGGGGGGTGTTCCCAGAGCACGGCTGGTCACCTGCTCTGGCCGCAGAGCTGACTGGGAGTGGTGGGTTCCGAGCCCTGGCTGAAGTCAGGTCCTAGCCACTCAAGGCCAGTCCAGGTGGCCTGTGGCCCTTCATGTCTTTCTGTCCCCGCCCCTCAGCCCACTCACAGCCGGAGAAGACAGATGGGACAGTGGCATGAGGTGGGCGTGGAGGGTGGGCATCTGCTTCCTTTCTGTCTTCCGATTTCACTTCTTGCTTCAAACCCCACCCACATCCTGATTTCAGTCAAAGGCCATTTTTCAGGCAAACATTTCTCATGTAAAATGATGGCAGAGACCCTGTACCTCTTGGCCCCCTCGTGTCGTGTATTCCTTCCAGCTCTCTCCGGGATCTTACGACCGCCTGTTGTATTTGGAGCATAAATTCTAATGTTCCCACAGAGTCCTCTGCCATCCTGTCTCATCAGTTTGCTGCCACTGAGGCTCTGAACTTGACAGCCACATGGACAGAGGAGACACTGCAACATCCCCGCGCGGTGTGAGCGCATTTCCGTGATGGAGTCTCATTTGGAAAGAAGCCAGATCAGCTCAGGTCGCAAACAAGAACATCATTTCCCTGTAGGAGCACGTCTTAGGACAGGAAGTGACCTCAGAGCCCCCCCACCAACCCCTGGCCCCTGAGTCCGCTCCCCTCAGCCCTCTGATGCCCAGGAAGTGGAGTCCTGCTGTCACGTCCTCGCTCTGCTTGTGGTTCTGCTGCTGAGTTAGGACCGAAAGTTCGTGAGGGAGAGAAAGGTCCAATGTGCCCCCTCCCACCAGGACCGTGGTGACTCCCCATCACTCACCGAGTCATCCTGGGGAGCAGCCCTGTCCCCCAGCCCTGTCTCCTGTGGGGCCTCCTCAGCCATGGGGCCCAGTGGTGTCTGCGCCTGTCTCTGCAGCTTCCTTTGGACTTAACCACTGCCGGCCAGGGCCAACGTTCTCTGTCTCCCAGAGCTAGGCAACCTCTGGTCTGGCTCCCAGCATTCCTCTCTGGCCAGCCCTGCCACAAACACGGGCTGTGTGCTCTGCCCGCTGCCGAGATAACACGCAGACACACTCTGGCTAAAGGTACATCAGATAATGGCATCCACGGCCAAACCCCAGGCCCGCCACCGGGAAGGCCTGAGGAGGGGCTCCAGGGCCAGGTGAGGGGCAGGCGGGACTGTCTGCCTCTGGCTCCTCGGCTGAAGCCGCCCCAGGGAGGGTCAGGCGAGAAACTTCCCCTGTCTCTGCGGCCCGTTGGCCATGAGTGAACTCCACTTTTTGACCCCTGCGGGGTCCTCGGAACTCCAGGTAAACAGAAGCTCTCAGTGCTCCCTAGAGGAGGTTCCTGCAGCTGCTTCTAAGCCTCGACACAGCCTGGGCATTCTCCATGCCTCCTACAGTGTCAGGTAAGGCCAGTGCCTCTTTCATCTGCTGGGAGCTTTGAGCTGTGGTCAGGGACAGGCATGGCCTGAGGTGAGTGGGCCTCCCTGCCCTCTGCTGGCTTTCCTCACTAAGGGGGGGCATGCATGGAGGCTTGGGCTCCTTCTCTAGTGGGTGGAGGTAGAGAGAGGAGAGGGGAAGGGCTGCCAGAGGGAAGTGAGGGGCCATGGTGAACAGCCCCTCTGTCCACAGCAGGACTGGAAGCTATGACAAACGACAGATGCAGCAGCTGTGCTCTGCCCCCCTCCCCTGCTTTATGCCCCTTCCCCCCGTGTCTCCCTTGTCGATGGCCTTCCCTACTTGGATGGCGAATGGGGGAATGGGGGAACGGGGGTGCTGGGAGCATGAGGTGTAATGAAACCGGGTGAAGGAACGCAGCGTCAACCGAAGGAATTAACAGTGTCCTGTTTGCCATCTGCCAGCCAGTCAGAGAGAGCTGGTGTTCAGAGCAGCTGCTAGGCAGGTGCTTTATAGAGATGATCTTCTGTCACTACCTGCCAGGGTCTACAGAGGAGGACACTGAGGCTAAAACACACTTAGGAGCCTGTCCAGAGACAACCTGGGCTGGGCAGAGCTGGGATCGGTGCTGGGGGACAAGGGGCTGGACCCTTCCAGAACCCCATGCTGCCTTTCCCTCACGGGGTTTCCTTTAAAGCCAGCGCGTGGGGCCCTGGTGGGACATCGCGTCTCGTCGACAGAAGTGGACCAGGCAGATCCTCAAGGATGTCTCCTTGTACGTCGAGAGTGGGCAGATCATGTGCATGTTGGGGAGCTCGGGTAAGCTGGGGGTCCCCTAAATCCTCCACGAGGACTCGAAAGAGTCTGTGGCTTGATTTGAACACCACATTGAGGAGACAGGTTCACGTTGTACCAAGGAGGCCACAGGTCTGATATTAGAATGAAATCTGATGGCCTGTGTGACTGTGAATAGAACCTGGTGCTAACGTGTAATCTTTAGGAAGATCCTTGAAAAAAACGAAGTCCTGCCGAACATGTAAGTTAATTCATATTTCAGTTTGGAAAGCACCTAACACAGTGCCTGGCATATAGGGGTGCTCAGTAAACACAATTTTCCTGCCTGGAGATGGGAAAAGGAATTAAATAAGCACAAAGATGCCCATTTATCCCCATATTCATTGGTCTTTTAAAAATTATGATATGTTTCAAACACACAGGCAAGATAGAGAGTAAATAAAGAATGTTCGTGTCTTAACCTCTGCTTTATCAAATCTTAACATTATACCGTATTTACTTAAGATCCTTTTTTGTTTTTTTAAAGGAGTTAAATATCACAGATTCCACTGAGGCTATCTATGTGCCCGTTTCCCACCTCATTCTTCCCCTCCTGTTTCCCTGCATCAGCAAGTCATTGCTGGGGAGGGTGGAGCCTCCGGGGAGGCAGCCCCTTGAGGCTGGGGCAATGCCCTGTGAAGGTCACAGCTGAGGATGCACAGCTATGGGGGGATGGGTGCATTGGCCCTGAAGAGGGAATAAATCTGTGTGGCACATCACAGGGTCCACTACACTAGGCTATCCTGCACGTTTTAAGGTTGAAAGATTCGGACAAATTGGCTTCCCAGGAGCCTCTTGATGGAGTTCTTGCTTGCAAATTGTTGACACTTCCTGCCAGTCTTCACTTGCATTGCTCGTTAACAGAGGTGTGCAATATAAGTCTGTGATAAAAGTTCAGCATGGTTAGCCTCTTTCGACCTGGGGAGTTAAATCCACAGCCACTCCCCTGCTGCAGTGGGGGGACAGCTGGATGGTAACAGTAGTGTTGTTAAGATGAAATGAAAAGGAATTCACTGGCGAGAATGGTTACACTTCCCTGAGATTTCCTTTTTTTTTTTTTTTTTTCTTTTTTGGCTACGCCCCGCGGCTTGTGGGATCTTAGTTCCCTGATCAGGGATTGAACCTGGGCCCAGGGAAGTCCCTCCTTTTATTTTCTTTTTACAATTTTTAACCATTTCTAATTGTATGCATGTACCATAACATCCAGGGTCATCCTAATTTTCCTTTTGATAATTATACTTCTTTAAAAAGAAAAGCTGAGTTATTCCTATAATAATGTGTCACTTGTTTCCTTCCTTGTGTAGGATAAAAAAGGGTGGCATGCAGCACAACAAGGGATTGAACCCACTTCTCAGAAGTGTGTCCCACAGGCCAATGTACATCTTCATGCACATCTCAGCAGAACAGTGGGTGGAGCCCCCTGTTCTAGGGCCTCATGGGCTGGTGTCTGATGATACCTTATCATGCTTTTATGACTGTCCATCCTTTTATACTGAACATGAATTCAAGGTAGACTGCAAGTTCCCTGAGGGTGGGAGCTTGGTCTTTTTTTTTTTTCCTGCTGTATCCTCAACAGTTAGGAGAGGGCTGGCCACATCGTTGGTGCTTAATAAGTATTTGCTGAATAAATGATTAAGCAAATGAATTAATTCTATGAATTACTCTTAGTTTTTCAGAAAATAACATGATTTCATTGGTGTCGCATCTAAAGCAGTATTGTTTATCAAATCTTTACTAGTGAGGCAAAAGATGACTTAGGTGTTCAAAGTCTCACTAGAGAATGGTCTGCATAATGTAAGCCTGTCTACAGTCAACTAACACTCCAGGGGAAGGTAATTTTATTTGACTCATTATTTTTGATCATTTAGGACGTAGACTCTAGGCTGCATGCTCCCTTGCAGAAGACTGTTTAGTTACAGGTGATTTCTGTCCATTTAGAGAGGATAAACCCAAAGGTCACAGTTTTATGGCCCTGTAGGGCGTTAACCCTTCTTTCCTTTTTTTTTTAATTGAGGTAAAATATACATAATGTAAAATTTGCCATCTTAACTATTTAATTTATTTTTTATTGAAGTATAGTTTATTTATAACGTGTTTCAAGTGTACAGCAAAGTGATTCAGTTATATATATGTTCTTTTTCAGATTCTTTTTCATTATAGGTTATTATAAGATATTGAATATAGTTCCCTGTGCTATACAGTAGGTCCTTGTTGTTTATTTTATCTACTTTATTATTTTTTTTGGCCACGCCATGAGGCATGCAGAGTCTTAGTTAGCCGATCAGGGTTCGACCCTGTACCCCCTGCAGTGGAAGCGTGGAGTCTTAACCACTGGACTGCCAGGGAAGTCCCCTTGTTTATTTTATATATAGTGGTGTGTATCTGTTAATCCCAAGCTCCTAATTTATCCCTCCCCCTTTCCCCTTTCCCCTTTCCCCTTTCCCCTTTCCCCTTTGGAAACCATAAGTTTGTTTCTATGTCTGTGAGTCTGTTTCTGTTTTGTAAATAAGTTCATTTGTGTCATCTTTTAGATTCCACATATGTGATATCATGATTTTTGTCTTTCTCTGTCCTACTTAGTATGATAGTCTCGAGGTCTGTCCATGTTGCTGCAAATGGCATTATTTCACTCTTTTTTATGGCTGAGTAATATTCCATTATGTCATGTGTGTGTGTGTGTGTGTGTGTGTGTGTGTGTGTGTGTGTGTATGTATGAGTATTTTTATATTTATATTTTATATATATATATATCTCACATCTTTATCCATTCATCTGTTGATGGACACTTAGGTTGTCTATTTTTAGTTTTTTAAGGAACCTCCATACTGTTTTCCATAGTGGTTACACCAATTTACATTCCCATCAACAGTGTCGGAGGGTTTCCTTTCTCCACACCCTCTGCAGCATTTGTTATTTGTAGGCTTTTTAATGATGGCCATTCTGACTGGCGTGAGGCGATACCTCATTGTAGTTCTGATTTGCATTTCTCTAAAAATTAGCTGTGTTGAGCATCTTTTCATGTACCTGTTGGTCATCTGTATGTCTTCTTTGGAGAAATATCTGTTTAGGTCTTCTGCCCATTTTTTGATTGTTGTTTGTTTTTTTGATATTGAGCTGTATGAGCTGTTTGTATATATTGGAAATTAAGCTCTTGTTGGTTGAATCGTTTGCAAATATTCTCTCCCAGTCTGTAGGTTGTCTTTTTGTTTTGTTGATGGTTTCCTTTGCTGTGCAAAAGCTTATGTTTGATTAGGTTCCATTTGTTTACTTTTGCTTTTACTTCTTTTGCCTTGGGAGACTGACCTAAGAAAACATTGCTGCGATTTATGTCAGAGAACGTTTTACCTGTGTTCTCTTCTAGGAGTTTTATGGTGTCTTGTCTTGTATTTAAGGCTTCAAGCTATTTTGAGTATATTTTTGTGTACCTTCTTAACCATTTTAAACTGTACAGTTCAGTGGTATTAAATACAGTCACACAGTTGAGCAACCATCACCACCATCCATCCCCACAACCTTTCATCTTGTAAAACTAAAAGCATTCTTTTTTTTGGCTGCATTGGATATTTGTTGCTGCGTGTGGGCTTTCTCTAGTTGTGGTGAGCGGGGGCTACTCTTTGTTGCGGCACATGGGCTTCTCATTGCAGTGGCTTCTCTTGTTGTGGAGCACGGGCTGTAGGCATGCAGGCTCAGTAGTTGTGGCATGTGGGCCCTAGAGCGTGTGGGCTTCAGTAGTTGCAGTGTGTGGGCTCAGTAGTTGTGGCACACAGGCTTAGTTGCTCTGCGGCATGTGGGATCTTCCTGGATCAGGGATTGAACCCATGTCCCCTGCATTGGCAGGTGGATTCTTAACCACTGCGCCACTAGGGAAGTCCCTTATATCCTTTTTTGAATGAGGATATGAATCCTTTTTGGTCATCCTGCTGGTACCCTCATTAATGAGTTAATAGGTATTTGACACATGTTCAAAAAAGGATAATATTAGTTACCTTTTTCTATGTTTAAAAAAGGATCCCCAAACTAAGTGACTTCATAAAAATCATTAATTATCTCTCAGAGTTTCTACAAGTCAGAAATTTGGAAGTGCCTTGGTTGGATGCTTCTGTGTGGGGTCCCTCATGAGGTGGTAGTCAGATGTCAGCTGGGGCTGCAGTCATCTGAAGGCTTGAATGGGACTGGAGAAGCTACTTCCGAAGTGGCTCCCTCACATGCTGTCTAGCAAGTTGGTGCTCACTGTTGCGCAGTGAGGATGTGTGACATGAGAGGAACCCTGAGGGTCACCCACAAGAGGCTGAGAAGGAGCAGCCAGACCAGCAGGATTAAACCAAGAGGATGAGGTGGCCTCAAGGCCAAGGGAGAGAGATTGACAGAGAAGGGCAAGCAACAGTATCAGCTGCTGCCGGGAAGTCAGACAACATACAGAGAAGCATCTACTGGATTTGGCAACAAAGAAGGAGGCTAGTTTTGAGATAGTGGTGGAACTGGAATCCAGGTGACAGGCTCTTTGGAAGGTCTGTCAGAGTTGAGATTGGATCCCAGAAATGTAAGGCTAGGGAGGCTACATTAGAAGTTAGAAGAACCACAGACAAGGCTTAATATCGTGACTGGGACACTGCAGAGCACATTTTGAAAGACAACCCCAGTGAAGTCACATTTTGTTTCTTTACAAAAACTCTGCCCCCTTCCCCACGCTGACCTCTACCTGAACATAGTGGGGCTGACTCTGAGCTGCGTCAGTCGTGGGTTAGATAAGAAAACCACTGCTCCAGGAGCTTGGCTTATACATCTTTGCACCCCTCAGAGCAACCAGCGGTTTCTTTAAAATATTTGAACAAAAGGTCTTTTCTTTGGTTTTGCGCAAGTCATCACATCCTCAGTAGAATTCTATTGCCATCTTCTCAGACAGCCCAGAACCTCCTGCCTGTTTCCTGTTACTCATTCTAACTGCTTAAAAGCCTTGGTCAGGAAAGGCCTGGTGACTCCTCTTCCTGTCTCCATTAACTCTCTGGGCCCATGTAAGCTTGTGTATGGGAAGGGCCAGCTGGTGTCCTACCCTGAAGGATCACTGTAACCCTAGACAAAGCAAACCAGGAGAAACCTCACCCTCCAGTCACCTCAGCACAGGGTAGTTAGTTCATCCCACCTCCTCTGTGGGCAAGTCCTTAGCGACAGCCAGCTGGGTTATTATGCCCAAGGCTCTCAGTGTAGGCTGAGGCCAACTTGGTTTTAACCAAAGGACTCGCTAAGCTAGTGCTTCTCAAACTCTAACATGCATGAGAACTACCCAGGGATCTTGTAAAAAGCAGAATCCGGGTTAGGAGTTGGGGCCTGAGATTCTGCATTTCTAGCAAAAGCTCTCAGGTGGAGCTGAGGCTGTTCGGCCTCAGACCACACTTGATTAAGTCAGCGAGGCTCTGGGCAGTGTCGCCTACATTCAGGAACCACCAGAGGATCCCAGGGGGTCACAGAAACAAATTCAGATGTCCTAGGATCCAAACGTTTCCAAGAACCCTGGTTTTCCTTTTATTCTGATCCTGTATTTTCTTTTTCAGCCTCAAGCAGCTTTAAAAACAAACAAACAGGAGGACAAAGCTCCTCCAGTCCTGACGTGGAGGAGAGAAACAGCTTGTCCCCTCTCATTGAGGAGACAAGCTGGAAGGACTCATTCCAGCCATGAGCTTGTCCCATGAGGCCAAAGAGAGAACAAGTCAGGGCTGGACCGCGGGTTCACCGAGGGTCTCGGGAAGTTCCCGCGAGGCCTCGTGCAGGGCCTCCTCCAGGACCTTCTCTTGTCTCCTCCCAGGCTCGGGGAAAACCACCCTGCTGGACGCCATGTCCGGGAGGCTGCGGCGCACGGGGACCCTGCTCGGGGACGTGTTCGTGAACGGCCGGGCGCTGCGCAGGGAGCAGTTCCAGGACTGCTTCTCCTACGTCCTGCAGGTGCGCGCGTCCCCGGCGCCTGCCCGGCTGCCCGCTGGCCCCGCAGCCGGCGAGGGGGCTGCTGACACATCCCTCCCCTGCAGAGCGACAGTCTGCTGAGCAGCCTCACGGTCCGCGAGACGCTGTGCTACACGGCGCTGCTGGCCATCCGCGGCGGCTCCCAGGGCTTCTTCCAGAAGAAGGTGGGTACCGCCCCGGGGCCACCCAAGGGATCACCCCGCTGTGGCTTTGCACCCCCTCGTCCCTCCGCTTGCCCCTTCCTCCCCTTCGCTCTCCACCCTTTAAGAGTCAAGGGCTGCGCTGGCAGCCGCTAGTCACAGGTGGCTTTGGGGCACTTGAAACTGACTAGACCTACTTGAGATGTGCTGTGAGTGTAAAATACACACCAGATTTCAGGAACTTAGTCTGGAACCGCAGAATGGGAAACGTCTCATTAACAATTTTTAAGATATTGATTATTGGTCAAAATGGAAATATTTTGGTTGTATTGGGTTAAAGGAATTATACCACTAAAATTCATTTCATCTGTTTCTTTCCACTCTCTAAAATGTGGCCACTGAAATATTGAGATTCTAAATGTGGCTTGCGTGATATTTCTGTTGGGTGGCGCTGTCCTGAGAGCTCTGTGTTTGAACAGATATGGCTATTTTCCTCACTGTGCGTTGCCCTGCAGCCCTGTTGAGATTTTTCTCAACTTTCTTTGAGGCGTCTTGAATGTGCCTCGTCCAAACTGGATTCAGTTGGTGAAGGAGGAACTATTGAATTGTCAACTCTAAGTTCCAATCTGTTTCTTTAAGTGGACCTGATTTGGAAGAGGCTGCGAGTAAACTCACAGGGGCCTTACCTGGAAACATTGCCTCGTTTCTGTCTGGGCTGGAAACATACGACCAAGGACAGGTCAACGTGCCACCTGCGAAGCAGGCACAGTTCTCTGGGAAACTGGCTCTCAGAGGTGCCGGAGATCACTGGTGACGTCTGCCTCAGAGGCTTCACCACTCTGAGGCCTCAGTGAAGGTTCTTCCTGGGCACACAGATTACACCTGCACTTCAGGCTCCAAAGCTAGCCTTCCTTTAATGCCTTTGAGGATCCAAGGGAATCCTCTATCTCAGCTGAAGGGGCAGTAGGTTACTCCCTTTTTATCAGGCACCTCTGAGCCTGTCACCAGGGAGTTACTCCTCTTTGTCCCTGGTGCTGGACTCTCAGACAGGGCTTGGCCAGTGCAGCCAGGTCTGAACTGTGCCCAGAGTACCAGCAGGCTTGTTTGTTGTCATGCCAAGTCAGGAAAGGGCATTCTTCTGTTTCAGAGTCCTGGACGTGTTGGAGCATAGCTTTCACTCCAGAGGAACCTTCAAGAAAGACCATTAGCCCCACAGAGCCCTGTTCCTACCTGGAGGTTACCTTAGAGTGCTCAGAAGGCATTGCGAGGTTCTTGCTATTCTACCAGCTTATTCTCTGGGCTCTCGTATGTGGCTGGCCTCCATCAGGCCTTGTTCACACACATCTCATTTCATTCTGGCATCAGCTCTATGAGGGAGGCGTTATCTCCAACTTTCAGATCAAGAAACTGACCCCCAAGGATATTAAGATCCCACACCTCGGACTGGCAGAGCTGGGACATGGACCCAGGTCCTCTGGCTCCATCATGCCTCCCTGGGCCTCACTGTGGTCTGAGAAGACAGAGGTCGGAATTTGGCCCACGGGGAGGCACAGGCATCTTCACATGACTTAGCTGCCCTGACAGTGAGTGACAGGTGAGCCCCTATGTAGGCTTCCTGTCTGCCTGCTTTAGTATTTTTGTGTCTAAAATGGGTAGGAGAGGATCTCATTGGTATTTGAGTTGGAGAAATGAAGTCATAAGCAGATTCTTTTGAGAGAGTGATCCATTTACATCCCATACCCCAGGGAGAGAATCCGAGAAAGCCACCGAACCTTTTCCCCTGAAAATGCTCACATTTGCATAAATATTTAGAAAATTCAAGGTACCTGAAGTTGGTTGATGGCAAATTTGCCCCCAGTGAATGGTCCCTCTCCCTGGCACTGGCAACCCCTAAGTGTCCTGCAAAGTTTCCTATCATAAAGTTCTCCCTGCTTGAGAGTACTTTCTGAGCAAATCCAGTCCACAGGATGTAAAATCCCGACAAAGTAGTTTAGGGAGAAGGAAGTGCCTGTGATAACAGAGCAGAGAGTGCAGCAGATCTGCTTTTGTCCTCTGCGAACCTGAACGTAAAGCCATGATGGATGTGGCAGGCTTTGTCCACCCTTGTGCTTCTTGGACCACTCGAGAACCCACACAGTTTACTCTCAGTCCCAGCTCTGCCATTTGCTAATGGTGTGACCTTGGGTAATCTATGAACCTGTCTGAGGATCTGTTTTCTGTTCTATAATAGATAGAGTAATAATGCATCTCTCCTGGAGATGATGTGAGGAATGAATCAGTTTATGTGAAATCACATAGCATGAGAGGATTGATGATCCCAGTGGTCCCTTCCAAGACTCTGAATTCTATTCCCAGCAGTGTTTGCAAAACATGGGAGAGGCTTCTAGCCAGAGACATCTGAAACAGATGAAGTAAATGTCTCCCCTGTCCATTGCTTCTGAGCCAGGAGGGGCAAGCTTTACTCCTTTCTTGCTGTTGCAGAGCAGATGAAAGGGACACTCAGGAATCTACCCTGACTGGTGAACACATAAACCTTGCCATGTCAAGTGAAGCTCAATTCCAGAATCCTTCCACTCTGATGGCAAGAAGAGACAATCATACTGGTTTACATATGCATTTCTAACCTCCTCCTTATTCCTTTGTATCTATTTCAGGTGTATCCCTTTCTTTTGGTCAAAGCATCATCTATTGATCCCACTCCCTGTCTCCTCTGGAACTTTGTTCCATAAATCATCCCCTCTACTCCAGTTTAGTTTGCTGTTGTTATTTTTTAATAGGGTATTTAAAAAAATAAATTATTTATTTATTTATTTTTGGCTGCATTGGGTCTTCGTTGCTGCACGTGGGCTTTCTCTAGTTGCGGTGAGCAGGGGCTACTCTTTGTTGCGGTGTGCGGGCTTCTCATTGTGGTGGCTTCTCTTGTGGAGCACGGGCTCTAGGTGCACGGGCTTCAGTAGTTGTGGCTCGCAGGCTCAGTAGTTGTGGCTCACGGGCTCTAGAGCACAGGCTCAGCAGTTGTAGCGCACGGGCTTAGTTGCTCCACGGCATGTGGGATCTTCCTAGACCAGGGCTCGAACCCGTGTCCCCTGCATTGGCAGGCGGATTCTTAACCACTGCACCACCAGGGAAGTCCTCTTTTTTTCATTATAAAAGAAACACAATCTCATTAGAGATGTATGGGAACAAAACTCATTATCATATATATAAGTATTCCCAGTCTCTTTCTCTCTGCTTTCCCCAGGGCCTAATGCAGATAGGGGTACTCAATCAGGGGAGGACCAGAAATAGAGATTTTTGAAAGGGTCTCTGGTGGGGAGATAAGCTAAGGAAGGAAAGAGGGAGAGGGAGGGAAAAGGCCAACCTTCTTGATTAGAGAGTCAGTAAAGAATTTTTTTTTTAGTGATGATTGTTTTGGGGAGTTGAGTAGTAAGCAGAGGATTTCAGGGAGCTGAAGGGTATAAGATAAGCAGAGTGAGGAGAATTAGGGAAAAGGAAATTTTTAAAAGTGTTTCTGTAAGTTATAAACTGGGTTCCTTTTAAAGTCCTTAAAGAGATTCCAATAAAGATTGGCTTTATTTTTAATTACTTTTGATAGCTGGATTATATTTGATGCAAAACCACAGTGAGATTGGGCCACATGGGACTCCAGGACTTATTTGGGTTACATAGGGGAAGCCAGGTTTAGTTCAAACCAAATTGATTTTTTTTACACGTAAAACATTTATTATAATAAAGTTTCAAAAACCAAAGACTAAAAAAATAAGCTATATTGTAACTATGCCTTAGGGGGCGGTTTCTCTATGGGCTGGACTGACTGTAGCATCTGAAAACAGGAGTCCAACAAAATCTGCATAGTTTCCTGCTGACTTTCCCTGAAGCAAGTTGAAACAGTTTTTTGTTGCTGTAAGGACTTCTGAAAAAAAATTCATGTCAATATTATTTATTTTAATCTGATACATATATTGTGATTTAAACCAAATTGGATTCTCTTGTAATAGGCGTGCTTTCCCTAGGATGTGGTGAGTCTGGAAGTGGCCCAAGCGCTCAAGGGAAGTGTGTTGCCTCTCCCCTGTCATCCTCAGCCCATGAATCGGGACACAGCCCAGCAGTGACCAGCCTTCCTGGACATTGTGTCTCTTACAGGTGGAGGCAGTCATGGCAGAGCTGAGTCTGAGCCACGTGGCAGATCGGCTGATTGGCAACTACAACTTTGGGGGAATTTCCCATGGTGAGAGGCGCCGGGTCTCCATCGCAGCCCAGCTCCTCCAGGATCCCAGTAAGTGGGACCCAGAACTGCTACTGGCTGCTGCCTGTCATCTTCCATGTGTCTGCAGACATTTTCAGCCCTTTCTTCACAGTATCCATTTGGAAAGGGCTTAGTTGGTTGGGAACTGAAGTCACTGAGGTTTCTCAAACTGGGGACCCAGTTTCTTTGGAAATCTAAGTAGTTCCTGATGCGATTCCATCACCCAGGTACAAAAAAGCTGTTGGACTTGGAAGCACTGCGTTTGTGTTCATGTTCAGTTAGGGTCTTCCATGAATGTCCTGTCCCTCCTTACTTCTTACTAGAGCAGCACCACTGTGTCTACTCTGGAAAGCCAGTGAGTTTTGCTGTGACTAGAAGTATTTATGAAATGGCAGGAATTAAAATAGGATTTTAAGTGATACATGAGAAAGTATATATATTGGAAGGAGGGGCTATCAAGATGGGGTAGCCAGTCACCTGCCTCTCCTGCCTGGCTTCATTCTCCCCACTGTCTGGGGAAACCTTGCCACTTACATACACTTGGAAGAGGACATGATACATTTGGATACTTTCTTCACATTGGGGTAGACCAAGACTGCCTGCTCTTCAGAACAAATAAGAGGGATGTTCTTAAGAACAGGGTACAAAAAGTACCCTGTACCTTTTGGGTAGAAATAAGCTACAGTTAAACCCGCTAAAGAATCCAAATGCCTGTCCCATCTCGGACTTTGTTTCACAGGTCAGAGTTTTCTGCAGTGCAAAGACGCAGTTGGTGTTGGAAAGTGCTAGACGTGAAGTGACATTATGTCTTTTTAAAAGATTTATTCAAGTATAGTTGATTTACAATGTTGTGTTAATTTCTGCTATACAGCAAAGTGATTCAGTTATATACACACACACACACACACACACACACACACACACACACACACACATATATACACATTGTTTTTCATATTCTTTTCCATTATGGTTTATCACAGGATACTGAATATAGTTCCCTGTGCTATATAGTAGGACCTTGTTGTTTATCCATCCTATGTATAATAGTTTGCATCTGCTAATCCCAAATTCCCGATCCACCCTCCCCTACTCCCCCTCTCCCTTGACAACCACGAGTCTGTTCTCTATGTCTGTGAGTCTGTTTCGTAGATAAGTTCATTTATGTCATATTTTAGATTCCACATATAAGTGATATCATATTTGTCTTTCTCTGTTGGACTTACTTCTCTTACTGTGATAATCTCTAGGTCTATCCATGTGTGAGATTTTGCCTTTTTAACCAGCCTCCTCTCAGCCTTTTAGAAACACCTGGGTGCCAGCCTGCCAGCCCTCGTTCCCTGTTAGGGTCCCCTGGATGGAGCCCAAACAGTCTATAGTGCCACACGAGAGGCCTGACGTGGTTGCTGCCTTGTCCCTTCAAGGATTCAGGCTGGGATGTGCTCTGGAGCTGGGAGTTGGGCCCTTCCAGGTCAGGTGCTTTCTCCTGGGCTCAGGCTAAAGTACTGCTCACTGCACACTGTTTGGATGGGATAAGACAGCTCAACAAGGAACTGTTCAAATTTCTGAGGCTAGAGCACAGAGCCCAGGCTCGGCAGTGACTCAGATGTCTGACCTTCCTTTGCCGCAGAGGTCATGCTTTTTGATGAGCCAACCACAGGCCTGGACTGCGTGACTGCAAATCAGATCGTTGTCCTCATAGCAGAGCTGGCTCGCAGGGGCCGCATCGTGATCCTTACCATCCACCAGCCCCGCTCCGAGCTCTTCCAGGTGAGGGGGATGTCTGTTCCAGCTCAGCTCATCCAGGGTGGGTATAGGTGTGCCAGGCTGGGGATCTCGGAGTAGAGATTAGTACTTAAACCAGAGCGATCCTGATGGGAAGGGCCAAGGATGGAAACTCAGTTCTTTTAGCACCTATCATGTACCAAATACCTTCTATACACTAGCTCTTTTAATCCACACAAAAACCCTATGAGGTGGGTACCAGCATTTTCACTTTACAGAGGGGAAGAGTGAGACTTAGAAATGATCCAACATTGAGCCAATATCACAGTTAATAAAAAGCTGGAATTGGCATTCATATTCCAGTTGGCTTTCAAGTCTGTGCTTTTCCACTAAATCATATAGAGTTCCTTCCCAAAAATCTCACCTTGATCTCCTAGGATCCTTTTAGGGAGCTATTATTTGCCTTTTATAGATGAGGATCTGAGATTTAAAAAAATTTTTTCGGTCCAAAGTCACTCATTCCGGGGCACGGCGGGGCCTCAAACCTATAGGTCCTCTGACCAGTTCCATGAGCTGTCCTCTATCCTAGACATGATGCTGGGTGCAGGCTGGGAGGCAGCAGGACCCACAGGGGCAACCCAGGCTGGAAGGAAGAGGGATGCATTTTGAGAGGTTCTGATGGCCGCAGTAAGAGTACTGATGTATGGCTGAGAGAGTCAAAGGACTGACTACTTGAGGCTTCTTTTCCATAAGGATGTGGTGACCTGATTACACACTAACACTGTCTGTCGTTCAATCAGCTCTTTGATAAAATTGCCATTCTGAGCTGCGGAGAGCTGGTTTTCTGCGGGACACCGGTGGAGATGCTTCATTTCTTCAGTGGCTGCGGTTACCCTTGTCCCGAACATTCAAACCCTTTTGATTTTTATGGTAAGTTTTTCTTTCACAGTCCCCATCATATATGTTTTCTAAACTTTATCTTCTCAGATTTCTGCCTAGATGACACCAGCACACGTGGGTTTTATTTCTCCTTTTGTTTTGGTGTTTTTACTCTTCAAAAAATTAATTTGGCCGAGCCAATTAACTTGCCATAGATGACCTATCAGAATGAGGTGGGCGATCTCTTTTTTTTAAAAACATTTTACCACTACTCTTCACTTTAAAAAAAAATAAATTTATTTATTTTATTTATTTATTTTTGGCTGCGTTGGGTCTTAGTTGCTGTGCGCGGGCTTCTCATTGCGGTGGCTTCTCTTGTTGTGGAGCACGGGCTGTAGGCACATGGGCTTCAGTAGTTGTGGCACACGGGCTCAGTAGTTGTGGTGCACGGGCTTAGTTGCTCTGCGGCATGTGGGATCTTCCTGGACTAGGCCTTGAACCCGTGTCCCCTGCACTGGCAGGTGGATTCATAACCATTGTGCCACAAGGAAAGTCCCGGGGATCTCTCTTGAAATGGTGCACTTCTACTTTGTCAGAGAAAAATTAGCTGAACTTCTGAATTCTCCCAGACAGGCCTATCAGGATCTTCATGGCCCTGCTGTGGTAGCTTTAAAATATTCTGATTTTATAGGTGGGGATTAACAACAGGTATTATTTTGATGAGATGAGGTATTATGGTTAGCACTCCTAAATCAATGATGGAACATATATTATTAGTCACTGTGTATATATGTGCATTTAAAAACACATGGGTCATTTTTTTGTGGGAAAAAAATTTCAGTGGACCTGACATCAGTGGATACCCAAAACAAAGAACGGGAAATAGAAACCTACAAGAGAGTCCAGATGATTGAATCTGCCTACAAAGAATCAGCAATGTATCGTAAAACCTTGGAGGATATTGAAAGAACAAAACACTTGAAAACATTACCAGTGATTCCTTTCAAAACCAAAGATTCTCCTGGAGCCCTTTCTAAACTGTGTGTTCTCTTGAGGTAAGAGCCTCACCCCATTTTAGATAGGTAGACGTCCACCCATTAAAAAAAAGCAATGAAAACGGGGTTGTTTGGCTTTCAGGAGAGTGACGAGAAACTCAATGAGAAATAAGCTGGCGGTGACTATGCGTCTCACTCAGAATCTGATCGTGGGTTTGTTCATCGTTTTCTTCCTTCTACGGGTCCAGAACGACGTGCTAAAGGGCGCCATCCAGGACCGTGTGGGTCTCCTGTACCAGTTTGTGGGCGCCGTCCCGTACACGGGCATGCTCAACGCTGTGAACTTGTGTGAGTGCCCTGCCCCGGAGGTGGGCCCCCGGGGTCGCGGGAGCTTCTCTCTCCCTGAATATCTCCTTTCTCCAGCTGACGCCTTGCAAGACTCCACCATTATAGGGGTATTTCTCTGAGCTCAACCTGGCCCCCTCCGGGTTCTCTCTCTGGGACAAGGTAACTCGTGAATTAGTAACACCTTAGTGGGAATTAGCTCTCCAAGTGGATCTCCCTGAGCGTCTCTGAGGATCCAGGGAAGCATGAAGTTATGAGGAGATGATGCAGCAGAGTTTGGGCAGGGTTTTTTAGAAGCTCAGCCCTGGTATCTTCTCTTATCCATTAGGAGGCACAGCCCATGGGGGCCCGGATGCCTGGCCAACTTTGCACTGTTAACGTTCTTTTTGGAGCCTATTTTAGGACAGCCAACACCTGGTTTTCAAACTCAGTGGGAGTCCAGAAGCAATACCTAGTTGCCTGATGTTCTGTGCCAACACCCTGCAAGAAAAGAGGACAGAGTGCCTCACGTCACTCATTTGTGTCCCTTTTGCATGTGTGTTCTTGAATTGGTGACACCCCTCCCCCCCCACTTTAGAGAGACGGAAATAAATTGTGACGGCTTTTGTAATCCTATTGTAATTCAGGTAGAGTGGATTTCTGGGGTGGGGGTATTTATAGTTCTATGGATGTCAGGTTCCTTTTCTCCATGACTAGGGGGCCCCAGCTGGTCCTCACCATCCAGTGCTGATAGATCTCAAGTTCAGCCTGGGCTAGCACCCCTCCTCCTCCAGCTGTGTGGTGACCGGCTGTTCTGCAACCTGCCTCCCATGCCCAGTTCCTGTGTTGCGAGCCGTCAGCGATCAGGAGAGCGAGGATGGCCTGTACCAGAAGTGGCAGATGCTGCTAGCCTACGTGCTGCATGTGCTCCCCTTCAGTGTCATTGCCACCATGATCTTCTGCAGCGTGTGCTACTGGTAAGGAAGAGGGTGTCCAGAGGCCTTCAGTGTTCCCGGGCCATGCTCCCCAGATGGTGGGATCCCAGATGGCCAGTGGGACCTGTGGAGGGAGAGCCCCAGGGTAAACAGGACAAAGAGAGGAACCCCCCACTGTGGGCCACACGGGACCTGAGAGCAGACCAGCAAGACTACACGCACCAGGGAATAACCTGTCCCGCATCCACTGCGGGGCCTGGCCTGAGGGGAGGGCTCTGGAGTAGCTGGGACCAGGTGCAGAGGCAGCGAGGCTGTCCACCCAGCTCAGCGTGGCTCCCAGGCTGCTGTGAGCTGGAGCGGCAACGCTGCCTGAGGTTTCATTTGACCGACCTGGGGCATCGTGGTTGGGCTGGGGTGACGGGGGGTGGAGGAATCAAGAGTGACTATGGGAAGAGGGCTTTGGAGAACCATGAAGCACCCCTGATGCTGGGTTTTGATTGATGGTTTGTAGACAGTGCTTTTTATTGCATAGAACATTTTACAGATGCAAATCTGAAAATGTGTAGAGTTATTTGTTGTCATAGGGAGATGTATCTTCCCTAATCCCTCTGGCTTTCCCTTAAGAAAAGATGGGGGGAATCATCCGGCATTCTGTGATTCCAGTAGTGAAAGGTGCCCAGCTTGTCGTTCCAAGAGAGGACTTCAGGCGGTTCTGGAGATGCTGTCTTTCTTCAGGGCACTGGATTCACGGGCAGGTGCTTCCACCCATAACCAGTATAAAGACCCCATGGTATGCGATGTGAATAATTATGATGAATCAAGTGAAATACAAGTAGAAGATAAGTGAGGGCCTGGTTTGAGCTCCAAGATGAAGAGTTAGGAGGTCTTATTGTGCAGACTCTTAGACGTTGTTGTCACCCTGGGGAGTGACAGAGGCAAAGCTGCTCGCTCTGGTTAGCAAGAGGGCGGACGCTCGCAACCCAGGGCGATGGCAGGGACCACACGGCCCTCCTTGCTGGCCTTGATGAAGCCTCTTATCCTCCGACACTCAGGAACGTGCTGAATCTCTGATCTGTGATGTACATAAACCACAGGCCCGTCTAGTTTAGGCGAAATGATCCAGGAGCAGATTTTTTTTAAGTGGCCGTTTTTGAGTAAGCCAAGGTTGGTTGGAAATTGAGAACCTTGTTAATTTAGAACCTTGCTCCTCAATGTGGCCCACGAAGCACGGTGTCAGTGTTACCTTGGGGCTTGTTTAACCTGCAAAATCTCATGCCCAGCCCTGCTGAATTGGATTCCACATTTTACATGATCCCCCAGGTGATTTATATGCACTTTAGAATTCGCAAAGCACTGATTTTGAAGACCATATGATATTCGTAAAACTGCCCATGAGAAAGAGTTCTGTATGATTTTAGAAAACAGGGCGGTTTTAAACTAGGTTCAGTATTGTCATGACTCTTTTTGACAAAAGCATAATCATTTCTAGTGGTGGCAGCACAGCTGTTAGCAATGTAGCAAATACTTTGATTCAATGATAGAAAAGTTTGTTGAATGCCTACTAGGTGCCAGGCACAGTGCCAGGCGCAGCTACGGATTTAAAGGGGAGTAAACTGAAGGGGCTGCCCTCAAGCTTGCAGTTCTGAACTGAGACGGCCCTGAAAGCCGGAGTGTTTTCTGACTCTTAGCAGCACATCAGACTTGAACTCACTCAGTAGCAAAATCCGACCTGAACCAACGTGAGGTTCATTGTACTTTTCCCACAGCAACATTCCTGTTTAGTAGATATGTTACAGGTGGAGTCCCAGACCCCACTGCAGCAAGTATGGTCTACACAGTGTGAATGAAGTCTTTCCCAAATCTGTAAATTGCCACATTCCAAAACACATCTGGCCCTAAAGTATTTCAGATGATAGATTGTGGACATAAATCTCCAGATGACTTTAATTCAAGAAAGTGTAAGATTAATATTATAAAGAAGCACAAACACGGTGCTGCGGAATATGATAACAAAGACGGCTGACACACATGAGCACTTGCTTTTATGTCAGGCACTAAAAGGTTTAAATATATCAATTCATGTAATCCTTGGTACCATTCTATAAAGGTGGCATTATTAATTATCCTTGTTTGAAGACGAGGAAGCTGAGGCACCATGGGGAATGTCTCTTCCCCATCTCACATTCATTATCACAGTGAATTACAAAGGAGACCAAGGGTCCATTTGGCTGGATGGGGAGAGGGACTCTCGGAGGCTTTATAAAGGAGAACTTGAGAGATGAGCAACATTTGAATAGATGGAAAAGGAGCAAGGGCGTTTCAGGGGAAGAAAGAGAAGGAGCATAGGTTCAGAAGCAAAAACACACAAGACCTTTCCAGAGAAAAAGTTCAGTTGTGCTGTGGGGAAAGGAGGATTGGAAGGAATAATGGAAAATATGACTGACAGCCTTGGAGCCTGGTAGGTGAAGTGCTGAATGCCAGGCTAAGGGGCTGAAGTGGATTAGATACCGGTACATAGTAGAGGATTTTGATCCCCAGGGAGTGACCCATCTGTGTTGCACTCTGGGGGGGTGAGGCTGGCATCACTTTCGTCTCAGACTGGAGAGTTAGGGCAGAGAGGCTGAACAGCCCAGTGAGGAGCCTTGTTAACAGTCTGGGAAAGGCAGAGGCTCTGGTGAAGAGAGCAGCAGTGGCAACAGAAAGGGGGTTTTACTTTGAGATGCTGGGAAAGTAGAATCGAACGGACTTAGAAATGGAATGGATTTGCTGGGGGGTAAAGAGAGTCATGGATGATGCCTGAGTTTTCAGCCTGGGAGGATGGGAAGGGGACAGTATCCTTATCAAGTTTGCGAGGAAAGAGAATGGATTTGGTTTTGAATATGTTGCATCTGGGATGCTACAGGACACCCAACAGGAGATGTCAATCAGAGGCACAATAGGCTGGTGTAGAAAGAAAAGGCAAGAGGAGTGAGAGGAGAGGCCTGGGAATGGATTCTATAGGCAAGAATATCAGGGAGGAAGCGGTCTGAGGGTGATATCTTAAGAGGCATATTCAGAGGGTGGGAAGAGGGAAGCAATCCGGCGAGAGAGGCAGAGAGGTGGTTAGAGTGGTGGAAAGAGAAGCAGGATCGGGCAGTGTCAGAGAAGGCAAGAGAGGAGGGAGTTTCACGAAGGTGTAGTGAACCCGTTCAGTACTGCAGAGGTTCAAGGAGGTGAGGCATAGGTTTAGGAGGTCACTGGTGCTCTTCCATAAAAGAGGTTCAGTAGAGTGGTGGGGTGCCAGTCAGGTTTACCAGGGAACAAGGAGTGAGATGGGAGAAGCAGGTGCTGTTTGAGAAGCTTGGTGGTACAGGAGAGGATAAAGGGGGGGCAGTTGCTTAAAAGGTTACCAGACTCAAGGAGTGGTTATTTTACAATACGGTAAGTAAGACCATTAGGGAAAACCATTAGATTGAGAGTAGATGAAACTACAGAAAAATTGGGTAATTCGCAGATCAAGTTTCCAGATTAGACCAAGGCAGAAATAGGAAAATCAGATTAACATAGTACCAAGGATGCAAGTAGACAGGATAAAGCTTGGCAAAGATGGGGTAAGAGATAGAGACAGGGAGAAAGAGAAGAGATGCAAAGTAGGGAAGATAAAGATAGAAATTCACAAAATGGGAGGTAAATCCATCTGCTGAGCACTGGGGAGAGAGTTTGAAGTTCCCTGGGAAGAGAGCGTAGTTTAAAGTAGAAGTTTTTATTAGCCATGATGGGACATGACATTGGAACCCAATAAGCAATGAGGAAGAATTAGGGGTCCAGGAATCAGCTGAAGCAAAGTGGCAGAATGGATCCAATTAGCACAGCTCAATTGAGAAAGCAAGGTCCCCAGGTGGGGAATTGGTAAGGCAAAGAATAGCAGAAGGGGTGAGGATCTGAGGCATTGAGGGCTTTGGGGAAATGGGAGACGGGAGGAGGCCATGATCAGAAGGGGCATTTTCAGAATGTGAAACCTTGGACATGCAACAGTTTTGAGTAACAAGTAACATTTAAATCCCAGACATAGTGAGTGATCAAGATTAGGTGGGTGGAGCCACTGGAATTGATCAGGTGACCTAATTAGGAGGCACTGGTGTTGATGGATTATGAAGGTTAAAAACCTTGAGGATAATGATGGTGGACGGGAGTGCAAAACTGACCCTGGTCTAAAAGCCACAAAATCATCAAAGGTGAGAAAATGTCTTAAAAGTCACAGAGGACTGCCTTGAGGCAGAGAATTAGTAGTATAAGCCAACTTCCTGATTTGTATAGGAGGAAAGGCAGATGGCCTTGAAGAGTGGTAGGGAGGGGTGAGGGTAAGACATGCCAACTTCTCTTACTTGCTCTACAAATGGAAGAAAGAGTAGCCATGTCTAAGAGTTGTTGAGGACGTGCTATCACCAGGGAAATGTTATGTGGTGAAAGGAATGTAAGAGGTTAAGGGGCATGGATATAGAGTAGCTTGTTTACAAGAACATGAAGGTCCAATCAGTGGAAGGGGTTGGTAGAATAAAAGACAAGAATGGAATGGAACAGGCCTGGGGAGGGCTAATCCATTGGAGGATGAAAGCAGTGAAGGGTTTTCACGCTGGCAGTAACCCCATGTAACAAGGGTGAGGTTCAGGGAAGGAGGGGCTGAGAAGCAGGTTGGGTGAGTCCTGAGCATTAGGGTAGTAGGCTAGCTAGGGTGGGAGCAGTGCCAGCCAGGCAGAATGTGGTTGCTTATGGAGAAGCCTGGACAGTTCAGCCCTACTTACTGCAGTTGGTTGTGACCATCCTCTGAGTGTTAGTATTTTTCTGTGAGAGCTGAGGGGCTGTAAAAAGGAAAAGGTGGCTCCATTGACTTGGGGCCAACAGAAACAATTTGAGGGACTAAATGGCCTCAAATGTTGGCCCTGTTCCGAAAAGGCCTTTCAAAGGGGAGTTTGGCCTGCCTTGCAGACTCTCCCCACCCACTTAACCACTATGGATTTATCCACAGAAGTCAAGTGTGGAATTTTTCTTAAATGATAACCCTTGGAGAGGAACTAAAGACCTTATGTTTTTTTAGGACTCTGGCCTTATACCCTGAGGCTGCAAGATTTGGATATTTCTCTGCTGCTATCTTGGCCCCCCACTTAATTGGTGAATTGCTAACTCTTGTGCTACTTGGTGTGGTCCAAAACCCAAATGTGGTCAACAGCATGGTGGCCCTGCTCTGCATTGCTGGGGTGCTTGTGGGCTCTGGATTCCTGAGGTAAGATCTAATAATTCAAATGATTTAGACTGGTATGATTTGATGTTAATGATCACCTCATAATGATTATTATAAGGCGTTACAGAGAAGCGCTGTGTGATACTGTGATACTCTATCACCTTACAGTCCGGAGTACTCATAGTGCTTCCTAGTCAGTATTGCTTAGACTTTGAACTGTTCATTATTTGTTAAATAAAACGTCGTCAGAATGAGAATCAGGAAATGATGATTGAAGCATGTTATCACATGTCATAAGCCATTATAACAAGAGGAGGAAAACCAAGCTGTCCTCCAGAAATACTCACAGCCTATTACAGGCTAAATAGCATGCATTTGGTTCATTTCTTCCCTGGCACTGTTGAGTTTCTATTCCAGCTCTCAATTCTCAGTTACTTTAAGAAAGTAAGAATAGTCAGATAAGAAAAGAGGCTGCAGGATAAAAGACTGCTCAAGAAAGCATCAGGACTAGAAGGACACACACCAAATGTAAACAGCAGTTATCTCTGGGTGATACTTATTTTAATTTTCTTGATATTTTCCTATATTTTGTGAATCTTCTATAATGGACAAGCATTACTTTATAACCAAGAAAAAATATATGTACACATACATACATATTGTATATTTTTTTTAAAGTAGCAGGAACGGCAGAAAATTTTAGAAGGGTGAAAGTGGTTTCAGGTGGGTGATGTGAGTGGGATCCAGTAAGTAAACTATGGGTCCCTGAGAAAATGTGAAGACAGCTCTGTTTCTTTGACTTAAAAATCAAAGAAAAGGGCCCGGAGACCTTCAAGATGGCAGAAGAGTAAGACGTGGAGATCACCCTCCTCCCCACAAATACATCAGAAATACATCTACATGTGGAACAACTCCTACAGAACACCTACTGAATGCTGGCAGGAGACCTCAGACTTCCCAAAAGGCAAGGAACTTCCCATGTACCTGGCCATGTGGCTGACAGGGTCTTGGTGCTCTGGCCAGGTGTCAGGCCTGTGCCTCTGAGGTGGGAGAGCCGAGTTCAGGACACTGGTCCACCAGAGACCTCCCGGCTCCACGTAATGTCAAACGGTGAAGACTCTCTCAGAGATCTCCATCTCAGTGCTAAGACCCAGCTCCACTCTACAACCAGCAAGCTACAGTTTTGGATACCCTATGCCAAACAACTAGCAAGACAGGAATACAGCCCCACCCTTTAGCAGAGAGGCTGCCCAAAATCATGATAATGTCACAGACACCCCAAAACACACCACTGGACACGTTCCTGCCCACCAGAAAGACGATCCTCATCCACCAGAACACAGGCATCAGTTCCCTCCACCAGGAAGCCTCCACAACCCACTGAACCAACCTTAGTCACTGGGGACAGACACCAAAAACAACGGGAACTACAAAGCTGCAGCCTGCAGCCTGTGAAAAGGAGACCCCAAACACAGTAAGTTAAGCAAAATGAGAAGACAGAGAAACACACAGCAGATGAAGGAGCAAGGTAAAAACCCACCAGACCGAACAAATGAAGAGGAAATAGGCAGTCTACCTGAAAAAGAATTCAGAGTAATGATAGTAAAGATGATCCAAAGTCTTGGAAATAGAATGGAGAAAATATAAGAAACATTTAACAAGGACCTAGAAGAACTAAAGAGCAAACAAACAATGGTGAACAACACAATAAATGAAATTAAAAATTCTCAAGAAGGAATCAATAGCAGAATAACTGAGGCAGAAGAACGGATAAGTGACCTGGAAGATAAAATAGTGGAAATAACTACCGCAGAGCAGAATAAAGAAAAAACAATGAAAAGAATTGAGGACAGTCTCAGGGACCTCTGGGACAACATTAAACACACCAACATTCGAATTATAGGGGTCCCAGAAGAAGAGAAAAAGAAATGGTCTGAGAAAATATTTGAAGAGATTATAGTTGAAAACTTCCCTAATATGGGAAAGGAAATAGTCAAGTCCAGGAAGTGCAGAGAGTCCCATACAGGATAAATCCATGGAGAAGCACACCAAGACAAATATTAATCAAACTATCAAAAATTAAATACAAAGAAAGAATATTAAAAGCAGCAAGGGAGAAGCAACAAATAACATACCAGGGAATCCCCATAAGGTTAACAGCTGATCTTTCAGCAGAAACTCTGAAAGCCAGAAGGGAGTGGCAGGACATATATAAAGTGATGAAAGGGAAAAACCTACAACCCAGAATACTCTACCCAGCAAGGATCTCACTCAGATTCAATGGAGAGATTAAAACCTTCACAGACAAGCAAAAGCTAAGAGAATTCAGCACCACCAAACAAGCTCTACAACAAATGCTAAAGGAACTTTTCTATGCAGGAAACACAAGAGAAGGAAAAGACTTACAATAACAAACCCAAAACAATTAAGAAAATGGTAAAAGGAACATACATATAAATAACTACCTTAAATGTAAATGGATTAAATGCTCCCACCAAAAGACACAGACTGGCTGAATGGATACAAAAAAAGACCTGTCTTTTTTTGTCTACAAGAGACTCACTTCTACAAGAGACTCACCGTCTACAAGAGACTCACTTCAGACCTAGGGACACATACAGACTGAAAGTGAGGGGATGGAAAAAGATATTCCATACAAATGGAAATCAGAAGAAAGCTGGAGTAGCAATTCTCATATCAGACAAAATAGACTTTAAAATAAAGACTATTAGAAGAGACAAAGAAGGACACTACATAATGATCAAGGGATCAATCCAAGAAGAAGATATAACAATTGTAAATATTTACGCACCCAACATAGGAGCACCTCAGTAAATAAGGCAAATGCTAACAGCCATAAAAGGGGAAATAGACAGTAACACAATCATAGTAGGGGACTTTAACACCCCACTTTCACCAATGGACAGATCATCCAAAATGAAAATAAATAAGGAAACACAAGCTTTAAATGATACATTAAACAAGGTGGACTTAATTGATATTTATAGGACATTCCATCCAAAAACAACAGAATACACTTTCTTCTCAAGTGCTCATGGAACATTCTCCAGGATACATCATATCTTGGGTCACAAATCAAGCCTTGGTAAATTTAAGAAATTTGAAATTGTATCAAGTATCTTTTCCGACCACAACGCTATGAGACTAGATATCAATTACAGGAAAAAAACTGTAAAAAATACAAACATATGGAGGCTAAACAATACGCTACTAAATAGCCAAGAGATTACTGAACAAATCAAAGAGGAAATCAGAAAATACCTAGAAACAAATGACAATGAAAACACGACAACCCAAAACCTATGGGATGCAGCAAAAGCAGTTCTAAGAGGGAAGTTGATAGCAATACAATCCTACCTCAAGAAACAAGAAACTCTCAAATAAACAACCTAACCTTACAACTAAAGCAATTAGAGAAAGAAGAACAAGAAAACCCCAAGGTTAGCAGAAGGAAAGAAATCATAAAGATCAGATCAGAAATAAATGAAAAAGAAATGAAGGAAACGATAGTAAAGATCAATAAAACTAAAAGCTGGTTCTTTGAGAAGATAAACAAAATTGATAAACCATTAGCCAGACTCATCAAGAAAAAAAGGGAGAAGACTGAAATCAACAGAATTAGAAATGAAAAAGGAGAAGTAACACCTGACACTGCAGAAATACAAAGGATCATGAGAGATTACTACAAGCAACTCTATGCCAATAAAATGGACAACCTGAAAGAAATGGACAAATTCTTGGAAAAGCACAACCTCCCGAGACTGAACCAGGAAGAAATAGAAAATATAAACAGACCAATCACAAGCACTGAAATAGAAACTGTGATTAAAAATCTTCCAACAAACAAAAGCCCAGGACCAGATGGCTTCACAGGCGAATTCTATCAAACATTTAGAGAAGAGCTAACACCTGTCCTTCTCAAACTCTTCCAAAATGTGGCAGAAGGAGGAACACTCCCAAACTCATTCTACGAGGCCACCATCACCCTGATACCAAAACCAGACAAAGGTGTCACAAAGAAAGAAAACTACAGGCCAATATCACATAGATGAACATAGATGCAAAAATCCTCAACAAAATACTAGCAAACAGACTCCAACAGCACATTAAAAGGATCATGCACCATGATCAAGTGGGGTTTATCACAGGAATGCAAAGATTCTTCAATATACGCAAATAAATCAATGTGATAAACCATATTGACAAACTGAAGGAGAAAAACCATCATCTCAATAGATGCAGAAAAAGCAGGCATAGAGGGAACTTACCTCAACATAATAAAGGCCATATTTGACAAACCCACAGCCAACATAGTTCTCAATGGTGAAAAACTGAAACCATTTCCTCTAAGATCAGGAACAAGACAAGGTTGTCCACTCTCACCACTATTATTCAACATAGTTTTGGAAGTTTTAGCTACAGTAATCAGAGAAGAAAAAGAAATAAAAAGAATCCAAATAGGAAAAGAAGAAGTAAAGCTGTCACTGTTTGCAGATGACATGATACTATGCATAGAGAATCCTAAAGATGCTACCAGAAAACTACTAGAGCTAATCAATGAATTTGGTAAAGTATCAGGATACAAAATTAATGCACAGAAATCTCTTGCATTCCTATACACTAATGATGAAATATCTGAAAGAGAATTTAAGGAAACAGTCCCATTTACTGCTGCAATGGAAAGAATAAAATACCTAGGAATAAACCTACCTAAGGAGACAAAAGACCTGTATGCAGAAAACCATAAGACACTGATGAAAGAAATTAAAGATGATACCAACAGAGGGAGAGATATACCATGTTCTTGGATTGAAAGAATCAATATTGTGAAAATGACTATACTACCCAAAGCAATCTACAGATTCAATGAAATCCCTATCAAATTGCCAGTGGCATTTTTCACAGAACTAGAATAAAAAAAATTCATAATTTGTATGGAAACAGAAAAGACCCCGAATAGCCAAAGCAGTCTTGAGGGAAAAAAATGGAGCTGGAGGAATCAGGATCCTGGACTTCAGACTATAGTACAAAGCTACAGTAATCAAGACAGTATGGTACTGGTGGAAAAAAAAAAAAATATATATATCAATGGAACAGCATAGAAAGCCCAGAGATAAACCCACGCACATATGGTCACCTTATTTTTGATAAAGGAGGCAAGAATATACAATGCAGAAAAGACAGCCTCTTCGATAAGTGCTGCTGGGAAACTGGACAGCTCCATGTAAAAGAATGAAATTAGAACACTCCCTAACACCATACACAAAAGTAAACTCAAAGTGGATTAAAGACCTAAATGTAAGGCCAGACGCTATCAAACTCTTAGAGGAAAACATAGGCAGAACACTCTATGACATAAATCCCAGCAAGATCTTTTTTTTTTTTTTTTTTTTTTTTGCGGTACACGGGCCTCTCACTGTTGTGGCCTCTCCCGTTACGGAGCAGACTCCGGACGAGCAGGCTCAGCGGCCATGGCTCACGGGCCCAGCCGCTCCGTAGCATGTGGGATCCTCCCGGACCGGGGCATGAACCCTTGTCCCCTGCATTGGCAGGCGGACTCTCAACCACTGCGCCACCAGGGAAGCCCTCAGCAAGATCCTTTTTGACCCACCTCCTAGAGAATGGAAATAAAAACAAAAATAAACAAATGGGACCTAAAGAAACTTAAAAGCCTTTGCACAGCAAAGGAAACCATAAACAAGACGAAAAGACAACCCTCAGAATGAGAGAAAATATTTGCAAATGAATCAACGGACAAAGGATTAATCTCCAAATTTTACAAGCAGCTCATGCAGCTCAATATCAAAAAAACAAACAAACCAATCCAAAAATGGGCAAAAGACCTAGACATTTCTCCAAAGATATACAGATTGCCAACAAACACATGAAAGGGTGCTCAACATCACTAATCATTAGAGAAATGCAAATCAAAACTATAATGAGGTATCACCTCACACCAGTCAGAATGGCCACCATCAAAAAATCTACAAACAATAAATGCAGGAGAGGGTGTGGAGAAAAGGGAACCCTCTTGCACTGTTGGTGAGAATATAAATTTATACAATCACTATGGAGAACAGTATGGAGGTTCCTTAAAAAACTAAAAATAGAATTACCATAGGACCCAGCAATCCCACTACTGGGCATATACCCTGAGAAAACCATAATTCAAAAAGAGTGATGTACCACAATGTTCACTGCAGCTCTATTTACAATAGCCAGGACATGGAAGCAACCTAAGTGTCCATCGACAGATGAATGGATAAAGATGTGGCACATATATACAATGGAATATTACTCAGCCATAAAAAGAAACGAAAATGAGTTATTTGTAGTGAGGTGGATGGACCTAGAGTCTTGTCATACAGAGTGAAGTAATTCAGAAAGAGAAAAACAAATACCGTATGCTAACACATATATATGGAATCTAAAAAGAAAGGTTCTGAAGAACCTAAGGGCAGGACAGGAATAAAGACGCATACATAGAGAATGGACTTGAGGACATGGGGAGGGGGAAGGGTAAGCTGGGACGAAGTGAGAGAGTGGCATGGACATATATACACTACCAAATGTAAAACAGATAGCTAGTGGGAAGCAGCTGCATAGCACAGGGTGATCAGCTCGGTCCTTTGTGACCACCTGGGGGGGGGATAGGGAGGGTGGGAGGGAGACGCAAGAGCAAGGAGATATGGGGTTATATGTACACGTATAGCTGATTCACTTTGTTATACAGCAGAAACTAACCCACCATTGTAAAGCAATTATACTCCAATAAAGATGTTTTAAAAAATCAAAGAAAAAAGCTATTGAGCAGCTACTGTATGTAATCATATTTGTTTAATTAACTCTCAGAGCAATCCACGTTCAGTTAAGAAAACTAAGCTCAGACTTGACTTTGTTCTGATCACACGCTGTGAAGACTCTCCGGGGAGCCGCACCGACCCTGGAGTCAGAGTCTTTCTCCTACCACTTAGTTGCCAAGTGACCATTGGCAAGTTACTTTTCTACCTAAATTAGTTTCCTCATTTATAAAATGGAGATAATGATCTCAGCCCCACCTGCCTCAAGGGATCATGAGACTGGAATGAGATCAGCAACGTGGAAACACTTCATGAACTGTAGTGAGTTATTATAAAGCCAAGTGAGTTCGTTTTGAACAGTCAGGGAGGATATTTTTTTACAGTGACACCATTACATTGTATTTGTCTATGTTGCTTAATTGGCTTGTTAGCATCTATGAAAAATGCACAGATAAGATCACCCCAATGGCATGGGATCAAGCCAGCAAATTACAGACCCAATCTTCAGCACCATCTCCTCTTTCATATTTGAAACATGTGCTCCAATCAGTCTGGCACTATTTCACGTATTTGGTTTATAGGAAAGGGGATTGATTATTCTTGAGAGGGGGGCAGTGGCCAACATTATCAAAATGCTGTTGGGTTCTTTGCAAGATCTCAACATCCCAAAGCTTCACCTGGGTTCTGCTCCATCACTGGGGTGAAAGTGCGCTCCTGAAGGCCCCACATCAACCTCCTAGTCATTGAGTTTATGTATTTTCCCTCAAGTCGTCATCTTTCCTGACTGAGTGCCTGCAACATGTGCACTTTTGGCTGTCTCTTCCTTTAAACACAAGTGGAAATAGCTTTGTTGTTCTTTCTGCTTACAAAATAATGCAAGTTCTTAGGGGGAGAAATGCACACAATACAGAAATGTATAAGGAAGTTAAGTAAAAGTTACCTGAAGTATCACAACCCAGAGTTAAATTTTGTTGTGTATTTTGCTAGACTTTTATATAATCTTTAATTCAAATGAGCTCATACTATTGTGAAGGAGTAAGGTATGCATGCTTTTCCCCCCTTTTAACAATATAATGTAGATGGTTCCACATCAGTAAATTTAGATCTGTGGTTCCTCCCTCTTGGATGTACTGCAAGGATTGCTGTGACACAGCCTAGCTCTCCTCCTGTGTCTTTCACAGATCCATTTGTCCCCCCTCTGCCGCCTGCACAAAGCCTGGCTGTTGTTCCCTTGGCAGGGCGAGCTCTCTCTGAAAGCCCCCTATGTTGGGTCTCACAGCCCATCACATGCTGCTCAGTTGCAGTCAGCCTCTTGAGGGCAGCAGCTGTGTCTCATTCATCATTATAGCTCTTCTCAGTGGCTAGCCCAAGGCCTTTAACCAATTAGGTTTGCCAAAAATATTTGGATTGAGTGAATAAATGAATGACTACTCTCTCTTCTTGGACTGCCTACACACTGGATCAGTCACCAAATCACGTTGGTTTTCTTCTCTGATGTCAAATCACAGATGCACGTGGAGCTTTTGAGTTTGCCTTGTGTGGTATGGTACAAGATGAAGACACATGGTTCCCAGCTCACACTCTAGCCATCTGGGCAGCCATCTTCTCATGGCCATCATCCTCTTACAAGCCTTTGTCATCTCATCCTTGAACTTCTGCTGTAGCCTGCTCTCTTTTTTGCTGTTCTTACTCTACTCTTATTCTGGTCCATCCTACTTGCTGGTGCCACTTTAATTTTCTTAAGTCATTGATTGCAATGTGACTTTTATCATGGTCCTTCAATGTCAACTGCCTGCAAGGCCCTGAAGTAGCCGGTTCATGGCTACCATTCCAAACTCACCTCCCACTGCTCCCACTTCGGATCCTCTGCCTTTCTAGTCCATCCTGTCCCACATGCCTGTGCTCATACCATTCTGCCTTCCTAGAGTGTCCTTCCTCTGCCCCTACATCCTCCCCAGACTCCGATCTGTCCTTTCCAGTTAGCAGCCTCTCAATGTGGCTAATTCGATTTTGTGCCTCAGAAAATTGCCAATAACTGAAAGTCATGGAGTTTGGGGATCACCTGGTGAGACCATAAATACTAAATACAAGAATGCCACGGACATGTAGTACTGGTTTTCTGTACTTTCTAAGCACAAATTGTTCACTACTGTATTTTTATAGCCTTGAGAATGTATAGTTTATGTCTCCCAACTACATTATGAGTCTTTAGGGGTAGGATACTTCTTTCAAATTCCGTAAGCACCTAGAACTAGTGCCTCGCAAATAGAAAGAATGTAATACATATTTGTTGGTTGATAAAAGCTACTGAGTGAACTAAGAAGGCCACAGGGTCAGCATGAAGTTTCTCCTGAAACAGGTTTCACAACGAATGTCTGCTTTTCTCACCATCCTTTTCCCCTTGTATTATAGTTTAGTTCTCACTTCATACATTAGCACCTCAAATCTGTTTAATCACAAACATCCTCCTCTAATGTGGTGTGTTGTTTTCTTTTATATCAATGGTGCTTACCAATAAAATTAGACAACAATCCATCATTAGGGGTGTGTTAAATTAAGGTTCCTACTATAATGGATCACCAAGTTGTGATTAAAAATGATGGTGTGTTATGCTTACTGACTTGAAAGGATGTCTGAGGCATACGTTTGTTTGAAAAAGCAGGTTAGGAAAGAGGATGAGAAGTTTAATTCCATTTATGTAAAATGTTATAAATACACATTACATATATCACCAAAATGTTAACAATAGTTATTTCTGGGCAGTGGTATTTCTTTATACTTCTCAGTGTAGTTTGAAGTTTTTCTAGTGAACATATTTTTATAATGAGAGATGAAAAACTATGTATATTCCTGTTGGGAAACATAAGGGTTGCCTTTCTTTTCATTTGGTAGGACTGCTACCAGAGCCTATTGAAGTTCATCTTTCTTTCTTTTTGCTTTTTCTTAAGAAACACAGAAGAAATGCCCCTTCCTTTTAAAATCTTCAGTTATTTTACATTCCAAAAATATTGCTGTGAGATTCTTGTAGTCAATGAGTTCTATGGCCAGAATTTCACTTGTGGTAAGTACTCAATTTTGGAATTTATTTTTACATATTAGTTTGAAAAAAACAATTCCTTGAGGGAAATGTATTTTTTAAGTAAATGCTATATTGTAAAAGAGATTTAAAACTTTGTTTTGAAGAGTCTAACATTTTCTCTGATTTTGAAAATAATAAGCAGTAGTCAAGTTAGTCACTTGTCAAAGGTCAGTAGCTTAAGGGCACTCCGATGTTTTTAGAAAATGATAGACTTAATGTATACTGAGGTAAACTCTAGTATATTCTGGGTGGATCAGTTCCTATACCTACTGAACAGGTTGAAGCAGGCTGCAGTGGCTTCTTCTTCCCCCAAATGTACAGAGTATGTAGCTGAGTGAAGCCATTTTTGGCAAAAATCTGTTCCCTAATCCCACAAGAGGGCAGTGGGAGCACAGCAAGGCCCTCCTGGCCATTGGAAATCCCAGGCCACTCTGTGAAGACACCTAAAGAACAGGGCAGAATTTAGTAGTCGTTTTATCTATCTTTAGGTGATAACATTAGTAACCTTGGGATATTCAGTGCTAAGTGATCATAATTTTTATTAGTACTATGGTGCTGAATATACACCCAAAATGGAAACAAACCCATTTCCATCTTCAAGGCCCCCAACACTCACTATTGCTTCATCTAATAATGAATTCTGGGCTCTCTAAAATTTCCTGTATCTTCATGAAGAAGAGTACTTAGCAGACTGCTGAGCATTTAGTGGGCATCTGATAAATACGTGTTGATTAAATTACCTTGCAAGTACCATATTTGACATTGTCAATCTTTTCCCTGGCAGGCAACTCAAATGGTTCTATGTCAACTAATCCAATGTGTGCCTTCAGTCAAGGAATTCAGTTCATTGAGAGAACCTGCCCAGGTGCAACGTCCAGATTCACAGCCAACTTTCTGATTTTGTATTCATTTATCCCAGTTCTTGTCATCCTAGGAATAATTGTTTTTAAAATCAGGGATTATCTCATTAGCAGATAGTAAAGAACATTGCTGCGAAATGGAACTTAAGCTCCTAGATGTACATGACTGCTTTGAATTTCTGAAATAAGAATGTTACGTGATTCTTAGTAGTACCTCGTAAGACTTTTAACCATTAAGACTCCCTGTGCCCCTTGGATCCATGCAGGCCTTGAATGCTATTCCAGGAGGGACATGTGGTATTTGGAAATTGTGACTGAGCTGGTCCAAAGATGTTCATAATAATTCATAAAGTTATGGGAGACTAATGTGACTATTTGTTTTCTTTGTTCTAGACACAGAAAAATAGGTCAGTTAAAGCTTATGCTTACATTTGATAAAGGCTTTGGTAAAAAAGAAAACATTTGAATGATTGTAAGTAACAGAAAAAGTTGTGGTTTGATTGAAGCAAAGCATCACGCAGAATTAGGTAAGAATGCTTTCATTTTCATTTAAAAACCCTATTTACGTGCACATGTCTACATAAGTTAACTGATCACATGGAGAGGATGTTGGACAGACGTTGGATAAAGACCCCTGACACAGAGCAGCCACTCATTTTACTGATGGTTAAAATGAAAAATGGCAGAAGTGGGCTGAACTGAGAACAGCACACTAGACAAAAAGATTAGTTTGCTAGTTTTCACTTTCTGCTTAGTTTACTTATAAAATTAAAAGTAAATGTTACTAAAGTATATGCACTGAGAAATGACATTTTTAAGGTTGGAGAGCAGCTGTTATTTAAAGTCCACATAGAAAAGATGCTCAACTGACACAACATTTACACTAAGAACAGAATCACACACTAGGAATTCATGTTCTTGAATTGTAAAGAGAAAGAATGCTGATAAATGTATATTTTTAGGGATTAAATTATGTATATAGATTATTAAAAGTGGGTTCTGGACTAAATGATCTTTCTGATCTCCAAGTAATTCATGTACAAGTCTGAAGTGAAACTGTCTTCATGTTACCATGGTAACTTTGAGTGAGAATATCTTAGATAATACATGAACTTGTTCAGTTACTGTGACCTAACGTGTAATGAATGATAAATTATAGTATTTGAAAGATCTCACATTATAGTGGGAAAGATCATTTCATTAAGGAAACCACAGTAAAATCCTATTTCTTAGAACAGTATTTAAGGATCTGCAGACATTGGTAAAGTACCAGAATAGTATTGTCAATTTTTATAAAAGGTCTTTGACACTGATGATTATGGTATAATAGTTACATAATGTCTTACAGATTATATATGTCACATCAGTTATAGACAATTCTGGAGATGATAATCTATTAAAGTAGTTCAAAGAGAGTCCCACAGGAACCTCTTTTGAAATCACTGATTTCGACTTACTAAAGATATGGGTGTACAATGTAAGTGGAAACACTTTCTACTATTCATATGCAGATGAATTTCATTCTAGCTCAGACACACTTGGAAAATTGACATAGCACGTGACTTCAAGCTATTAAATGTTAGTGATACCGTAATCTTAGAAAAACACAATGACTTTCAACATGTGACAGTTTGTCTCAGTCAAAAATGGACAGTGGGGCTTCCCTGGTGGTGCAGTGGTTGAGAGTCCACCTGCCGATGCAGGGGATACGGGTTCGTGCCCCGGTCCGGGAAGATCCCACATGCCGCGGAGCGGCTGGGCCCGTGAGCCATGGCCACTGAGCCTGCGTGTTCGGAGCCCGTGCTCCGCAATGGGAGAGGCCACAACAGTGAGAGGCCTGCGTACCACAAAAGAAAAAAAAAAAAAAAAAAAGGACAGTGATGTATAAGAAAATCAAAATATATAATAAAAATTCCTATTCCCACCAAGTCAGTGAAACTTCTGAGATCAAAACGTTCCCTGTTGATTTAAAGGGAGTTCTTTCTCCACAGCACTCAAGCAGGGTGCCTGTCTGCTCCTAAGACTGCAGTTCCTTGTAGACATGGTGAAATTGTTTTCCAGAGTGCTGGAACCACATGCATTGTAACTAGTTTAGGAAGTCGTATTTCACTACAATAACCAGGTAGTTTGCTATCCACTTGGATACCACTCATCAATCTTGGTGTTCTTGAGGTTAGTAAGTGTGCTTATTTGAAGCTGGGTGCATGGCATATTAGAGTCAACATATTTTATAGTGGAAATGGAAGAACAGAGAATAAATTACTTTCCTGTTTAATGACAGCAATTATGCTTACTCCAACTGAACTTGGCTAGCAGATACACAAGTCTCCAGGAGTCTGAAGGCTTCTTAAAAGCTATTCCACCTTGGAAATGATCTTAGTTATTACTAACTCATGCAGTCTTGGCCTGCTTGTTGATAGACTATTTCCTTAAATTTGCCTATTCTTCAAAAAGTTATACTCAAAGTAAGTATGTCAGAATCACCAGAGGTGCTGATGAAAAATGCAGATTACTGAGCCCCATTCCAGACCCACTGATTCAGGATCTCTGGGTGTGGGGACTCAGGAATGTGCATTTTCTTTTTTTTCTTTTTATAAAAATTGAAATATAGTTGATTTACAGTGTTGTGTTAACTTCTGCTGTACAGCAAAGTGATTCAGTTATACATATATATACATTCTTTTTTATATTCTTTTCCATTATGGTTTATCACAGATACTGAATATAGTTCTCTGTGCTATACAGTAGAACCTTGTTGTTTATCCATTCTGTATATAAAAGCTTACATCTGCTAACCCCAACTTCCCACTCCATCCCTCCCCAACCCCTACCCCTTGGCAACCACCAGTGCCCTCTGTTTGTGATTCTCTTTCTATTTCATAGATAGGTTCATTTGTGTCATATTTTATTTTTTTTTTAATTTATTTTTTATTGAAGTATAGTTGAATTACAATGTTGTGTTAACTACTGCTGTATAGCAAAGTGACTCAGTTATACATATATATATACATTCTTTTTCATATTCTTTTGCATTATGGTTTATCACAGGATATTGAATATAGTTCCCTGTGCTATACAGTAGGACCTTGTTGTTTATCCATTTTGTATATACCAGTTTTCATCTGCTAACCCTAAACTTCCAATCCAACCCTCTCCCAGCCCCTCCTCCTTGGCAACCACCAGTCTATTCTCTATGTCCCTGATTCTGTTTCTATTTCATAGATAGGTTCATTTGTGTCATATTTTAGATTCTACATATATATGATATCATATATTTGTCTTTCTCTTTCTGACTTCACTTAGTATGATAATCTCTGCAAATGGTATTATTTCATTCTTTTTTATGGCTGAGTAGTATTCCATTGTATATATGTACCACATCTTTATCAATTCATCTGTTGATGGACATTTAGGTTGTTTCCATGTCTTGGCTATTGTGAACAGTGCTGCTATGAACATATGGGTGCATGTATCTTTTTGAATTATAGTTTTGTCTGGATATATGCCCAGGAGTGGGATTGCTGGATCATATGGTAATTCTATTTTCAGTTTTCTGAGGGACCTCCATACTGTTTTCCACAGTGGCTGCACCAACTTACATTCTCATCAACAGTGTAGGAGGGTTCTCTTTTTTCCACCCCCACTCCAGCATTTGTTATTTGTAGACTTTTAAATGATGGCCATTCTGACCAGTGTGAGGTGGTATTTCATTGTAGTTTTTTTGATTTGCATATCTTTAAAAATTAGCGATGTTGAGCATCTTTTCATGTGCCTATTGATCATCTGTATTTCTTCTTTGGAGAAATGTCTATTTAGGTCTTCTGCCCATTTTTCAATTGGGTTGTTTGGTTTTTTTTATTGGTCAGTTGTATGAGTTGTTTGTATATTTTGGAAATTTAGCCCTTGTTGGTTGTGTTGTTTGCAAATTTTTCTCCCATTCTGTAGGTTGTCTTTTTGTTTTGTTTATGGTTTCCTTTGCTGTGCAAAAGCTTGTAAGTTTGATTAGGTCCCATTTGTTTATTTTTGTTTTTACTGCCTTGGGAGACTGACCTAAGAAAACATTGGTACAATTTATATCAGAGAATGTTTTGCCTATGATCTCTTCTAGGTTTTATGGCGTCATGTCTTAAGTCTTTAAGTCATTTTGAGTTTATTTTTGTGTATGGTGAGAGGGTGTGTTCTAACTTCATTGATTTACATGTGGCTGTCCAACTTTACCAGCACCACTTGCTGAAGAGACTGTCTTTTACCCACTGTGTGTTCTTGCCTCCTTTGTTGAAGATTAATTGACCATAGGTGTGTGGGTTTGTTTCTGGGCTCTCTATTCTGTTCCATTGATCCATACGTCTGTTTCTGTGCCAGTACCATGCTGTTTCAATTACTGTAGCTTTGTAATACTGTCTGAAGGCTGGGAGGGTTATGTTTCCTGCTTTGTCCTTTTTCATCAGGATTGCTTTGGCAATTCTGGGTCTTTTATGGTTCCATATGAATTTTAGGATTATTCTAGTTCTGTGAAAAATGTCATGGGTAATTTGATAGGGATTACATTAAATCTGTAGATTGCTTTGGGTAGTATGGCCATTTTAACAATATTAATTATTTCAATCCAAGAGCATGGGATATCTTTACCTTTCTTTGAATCATCTTCAGGCTTCTTTATTAATGCTTTATAGTTCTCAGCATATAAGTCTTTTACCTCTTTGGTCAGGTTTATTCCTAAGCATTTTATTTTGGGGGGGGTGCAATTTTAAAAGCTATTTTTTTTTTACATTCCCTTTCTGATATTTCATTGTTGGTGTAAAGAAATGCAACCAATTTATGTATGTCAATCTTGTATCCTGCTACATGCTGAATTTGTTTATCAGTTCTAGTAGTTTTTGTGTGGAGTCTTTAGGGTTTTCTATATATAGCATCATATCATCTGCATAAAATGACAATTTTACCTTTTCCCTTCCAATTTGGATACCTTTTATTTCTTTTTCTTGTCTGATTGCTGTGGGTAGGACTTCCAGTACTATACTGAATAGAAGAGGTGAGAGTGGGCATCCTTGTCTTGTTCCAGATTTTAGTGGGAAGGCTTTCAGCTTTTCACCATTGAGTATTATATTGGCTGGGTGTTTATCATAAATGGTTTTTATTATGTTGAGATTATGTTCCCTCTATACCCACTTTGGTAACAGTTTTTATCATGAATGGATGTTGAATTTTGTCAAATGTTTTTTCTGCGTCTACTGAGATAAGCATGTAGTTTTTGTCTTTTCTTTCATTTATGTGGTGTATCACATTGATTGATTTGCATATGTTGAGCCATCCTTGTGAACTTGGGATGAATCCCACTTGGTTGTGGTATATGATCTTTTTTAATGTGTTGTAGGATTTGGTTTGCTAATATTTGTTGAGATTTTTTCATCTATATTGGCCTTAATTTTCTCTTTTGGTGGTGTCTTTGGTTTTGGTATCAGGGTGATGGTGGCTTCATAGAATGTATTTTGGAGTGTTCCTCTTCAATTTTTTGGAAGAGTTTGAGAAGGATCGGTACAAGTTCTTATTTGTATGTTTGGTAGAATTGGCCTGTGAAGCCATTTGGTCCTGGACTTCTGTTTGTAGGGAGCTTTTATTTTTATTTTAAATTATATTTATTTATTTGGCTGCATCAGGTCTTAGTTGTGGCATGCAGGATCTTTCTTTGCAGCACTTGGGTTCTTTGTTGCGGTACATGGGCTTCTCTAGTTGTGGCGCACGGGCATTAGAGTGCATGGGCTCAGTCACTGTGGCATGCAGGGTTTTCTAGCTGTGCATGGGCTCCAGAGCACACAGGCTCAGTAGTTGTGGCATGTGGGCTCTCTAGGTGTGGCTCACGGGCTCTAGAGTGCACAAGCTTAGTTGCCCCACGGCATATGGGATCATAGTTCCCTGACCAGGGATCGAACCCACATCCCCTGAATTGGAAGGTAGATTCTTGACCACTGGACCACCAAGGAAGTCCCTGTAGGGAGTTTTAAAATTACAGATTCTATTTCACTTCTTGTGATCAGTGGTTCACATTATCTATTTCTTCTTGATTTAATTTTGGTGGGCTGTATGTTTCTAGAAACTTGTCCATTTCTTCTAGGTTGTTGAATTTGTTGGCATATAATTGTTCATAGTATTACCTTATGGTTTTTTGTATTTTTGCAGTATCAGTTGTTATGTATCCTTTTTCATATCTTGTTTATTTGGGTTCTTTCTCTTTTCTTCTTGGTGAGCCTGGCCAGAAGTTTGTCAATCTTGTTTATTCTTCCAAAGAACCAGCTCTTGGTTTTATTCATTTTTTTCTATTTTTTAAAATCTCTTTTATTTCCTCTCTGATCTTTATTATTTCTTTCCTTCTGCTGACTTTAGGTTTTGTTCTCCTTTTTCTGATTTTTTTAAGTGGTAGGTGGGGTTGTTTGAGATTTTTCTTGTTTTTTTGAGGAAGGCCTGTATTGCTCTGAACGTCCCTCTAAGAATTGCTTTTGCTGCATCCCATAGATTTTGTATGGTTGTGTTTTCATTGTCATTTGTCTCAAGGTTGTTTTTTTTGCGGTACGCGGGCCTCTCACTGCCGTGGCCTTTCCTGCTGCGGAGCACAGGCTCCGGACTCCGCGGCATGTGGGATCCTCCCAGACTGGGGCACGAACCCGCGTCCCCTGCATCAGCAGGTGGACTCTCAACCACTGCGCCACCAGGGAAGCCCTGTCTCAAGGTATTTTTAAAATTTCCTCTTAGATTTCATCGATGACCCATCTGTTTTTTAGAAGCATGTTGTTTAATCTCCATGTAATCATTTTTTCCCACTTTTTCTGTGGATACTTTCTAGGTTTATGCTGTTTATGTTTATGTGGTCAGAAAAGATGCTTGAAATAATTTCTATACTCTTAAATTTGTTGAGGCTTGTCTTGTGCCCTAGTATGTGGTTAATCCTAGAGAATGTTCCATGTGCACTTGAAAAGAAGGTGTATTCTAGGTTTTTTGGATGTAATGTCCTGAAAACATCAATTAAGTCTAACTGTTCTATTGTATCATTTAGGATCTCTGTTGCCTTAATCTCTGTCTTAGAAGATCTGTCCATTGATGTGAATGCATGTTAAAATCTCCTATTATTACTGTATTCCTGTCTATTTCTCCCTTTACGTCAGTATTTGTTTTATGTATTTGGGTGCTCCTATATTAGGTGCATATATGTTGATGAGTGTAAAATTCTCCTCTTGTATTGAACCTTTTATCATTGTATAGTATCCCTCTTTATCTTTCTTTATGGCCTTTGTTTTAAAGTCTATTTTGTCTGAGCATTGCGACCCCTGCTCTCGTCATTTCCGTTTGCATGAAATATCTTTTTCCGTCCCCTCACGTTCAGTCTTTGTTTGCCCTAAAGTGGGTGTCTTGTAGGCAGCATATCGTAGGCTTGTGTTTTTTATCCAATCTGCCACTCTGTCTTTGGACTGTAGTATTTACTCCATTGACATTTAAGGTAATTATTGATAGATATGTATTTATTGCCATTTAAAAACTCGTTTTCTCATTAATTTTATATTTCTTCTTTGTCCCTTTTTTTTTTTTCTTCTGTGGTTTGATGCCTTTCTTTTGTATTATACTTATGTTCTCTTCTTTTTGGTTTTTGTGAGTCTGTTGTATGTTTTTGATTTGTGGTTACCCTGTTTTTCAAGTATGTTAACCTCTTCCTATATCTATTTGCCTTAGACTGGTAGTCATATAGGCTCAAACACATTCTAGGGGAAAGAAAAAAAACCCTACATTTTCTTACTCTCCTTCTCCACATTCTATGATTTTGATGTCCTCTTACATCTCTATCCTTTTGCTGTTCATTGTGGTTATCATCACTTTCACAGAAATTTTTTGATTTTTTTTAAATCTGTGTACTGGCTTACTTAAGTGATTTACTTTTCAATTGTAATTTTCTCTTTCCTATAGATTCTTTTTTTCTACTTAGAGAAGACCTTTCAATATTTCCTTTAGGATATATTGTTTAGTATCGCTGTATTCTTTGAGTTTTTGCTTGTCTGAGAAATTCTTTATTTCTCCTTCTATTCTAAATAATAATCTTGCTGGGTAGAGTATCCTAGGTTGCAGAGTTTTTCCTTTCAGGACTTTGAATGTATCTTGCCACTCCCTTCTGGCCTGCAAACGTTTCTGTAGAGGCCAGATGGTAACAGCCTTATGGGGGTTCCCTTGTAATTAACTCTTTAGTTTTTCTCTTGCTGCCTTTAGAATCCTCTCTTTAACTTTTGCCATTTTTATTATAATATGTCTTGGTGTAGGTCTGTTTGGGTTTATCTTGTTTGGGACCCTCTGTGCTTCCTGTACCTGGATATCTGTTTCCTTCTTTATGTTTGGGAAATTTTCAGCCATAATTTCTTCAAATACATTTTCGATCCCCTTTTCTCTGTCTTCCCGTTCTGGAATCCCTATTATGCATTGATTGGCATGCTTTATATTATCCTATAGGTCTCTCATATTGCTTTTTTTTTTTTCATTTGGCTTTGTCTGCTGCCCTGATTGGGTGATTTCCATTATTCTATCTATCTTCCAGATCACTTATTCATTCTTCTGCATTATTCATTTTGCTATTCATTGCCTTTAGCTCAGCTTTCATCTCTGCAAATGAGTTTTCTAATTTTTCTGGGTTCCTTTTTATAGTTTCTAGTTCCTTTTTACAGTACTCTGCATTTCTGTTGATAGCCTTTCTTAATTCCTTCAGTATTTATTTTCATTATCTCCTTTTTGAAATTGATGTCTATTAGACTAAAGAGGTCTGTTTCATTATTTGTTCTTTCAGGGGAATTCTCTTGGTCTTTTAACTGGGAGTGGTTCCTCTGCTTCTTCATTTTACTTATATTTCTCTTACTCTGTGAGTTTAGGAGAAACAATTATCTACTGTAATCTTGGAGAGCTATTTATATGTGGGGATGTCCTGTGTAGCTTGTGTGAGTTTAATATATTGGGTGCAAGGCCTGTTTTTATTATGGATGCCTGTTGACTCTTTCCTCAGTGTGTGCTGGTTGTTATCCCCTTTATTGATAGGGGTGTGCAGATGCGGCGGCTGGTGCCTGGTCTTGGGGTTCTTGGCAGTAGTGGTGGCTCTGGTGTGCCCCCAGAGCATGTGACAGGAGCAGAGGTGGCTGGAGACTGCTCCTAGAGTCTGTGAGGGAGGCGGTGGCTTGCCTCCCTCCAGGCGGCTCCTGGAGCCCGTGCATGTGGTGTCCTGCCCTCTGTGAGTGCACACAGAGAAAAAGGCTACAATGGCGGTCCCACCCCTTCCCTCGTGCACCCCCAAACAATGGCGCCTGGCCTCTAAGGCAGCCCAGGCTTCCTCCCCATACACCATCAGTTGCAGTCGCACTAGATTCCAGCTGCCCCAGGCTGTTTCTGCACAGCCAACCCCAGTCCTCTCCCTGGGTCTGATCTCCAAAGCCCGAGTTCCGGCACCCAGTCCCCACCCGCACCGGTGGACCTGCATCTCAGGCTGGTGAGTGCAGGGCGGCAGCACTGAACAGACCATCTGTGCAGTTTTCCCTCTGCTCTGGCTGCCACAAACCGGCTGCTGCATTCTCCTCTGAGTCTCTGAAGCTCCCCTTCTGTCCCAGCAGATCTCCCCACCAGTGAAGGGGCTTTCCCGGGTGCAGGAACCTTTCCTCTTTCATAGCTCCCTCCCAGGGGTGCAGGTCCCATCTCGATTCCTTTCTCTTTTTATTTTTTCCTACCTGGAAGTTACCTGGAGATTTTCTTGCCCTTTCAACAGTCTGAGGTCTTCTGCCAGTGTTCAGTAGATATTCTGTGAGAATCGTTCCACATGTAGATGTGTTTTTGATGTATTTGTGGGAGAAGCTTCACTTCCTACTATTCCACCATCTTGATTGCTGCTCAGAAATGTGCATTTTAAAAAAGTACTTCCATGCTTCTTGTGCCTTACCATTAATTAGAGTAAAATGATGACACCTGTGAAAGTGACCCCAATTCTACTTTTCTTACCAGACACAGCTGAGAACTCCTTAGAGAAGGAATGTGTCTAATATAAATGCTTAACCTTATACTCACAACTGTTACTAAATGCTCTTGCTTTCATATTCCTGAAAACATAAGCAGAAACTTACAGAGGCTGAACCAAGTACACACTACTTAAACATGTTAAAGGTAGGTCCTGCAAGATTTTTTATTTTTAAAAAAATATTGCATGTAATTATACAAAGTTTTCCCTTTTAAGAGAGTTAAAAGTATGCAGGGAGTTGCACTAATACAAGAAATTCCACTTTTCCTTTAACAAATTACACATGTAGACTTTCCTCACTTATTAATATAATATTAAGTAATAAAATAATCTTACTTATATTTGGAAAAGAAGAAATAAATACCCTCTAGTTGCATTAGGTTCAGGAACCAAGCTCAATTTGTTTCCAAGACTTGGAAGAACTTCTTTTGTACTGTTCCAGTTCCTAAAACAAAAATATGTGTTACTTGCAAAAAAACTTAAAATTTTAAAACTAGGCACCTTAAAACTGCCTTAGCATTTTTTTGGGTTAACAGTGTATCCTTTATAACATCATCATTCTCCAAATTTCTTGCCAACTGTTTTATAAATAATTATACTTAGGATTTATTTTCTAGAAATGCAGTCTTCAGAGTTTCCGTGTCACCAAAGCAGCACTTGGAGATGAATTTATTAAAGTTTCAGACAAAATATACGCTATATAGTATATACAAGTTGTTTTTCAACTAACAGAATTAAGCATTTGGCATACTTTAAGTATATAAAAGTGATCTTATTTTTAAATGTTTGCTGTTCAACTCTTGTCAAATTGTGGTTGAAGTCAGCAAGGTATCAATGTTTAAAATGTACATATCGTTTGACCCAGTGATTGTACCTTTAGAATTTTATCAATAAGTATAATAGAGAAGAGCAGAAGAATAGCAATAGAAGGATATTCACTGAGCTGTGTATAGTGGCACACAATTGGAAATGGCTTAGACATCTCCCAGTAAGGACTGATTAAATACATCAGTGCTCATTCACACTTGACTTCATAGGCAGCCAGCAAAAACAACAGTGGTCTTATGTACCACATGAAAAGGCAAATAGGTGGAGAGAGGGCAGGACACTTCCATTTTCTGTTATACACTTCCATGTCTTGACTTTTTTCACAATGAGTATATGTTCCTTTCACAATTCATAAAACAGAGATAACTTTTAGTGGGGGTGAATATCCTGCATGAGATGACTGACCTGCAAAAGGGATCATCTAAGGGGATTGCCTCCTGGCCTCTTACATGTTGTTCAATGTCTAAGTGTACAAAGTATATTATTATTTCAGATAAGCAAAAAGTGGTTACTCTGCAAGATAAGGCAATCACTGCCCTTTGGCTAACATAACAAGTTCATTTTCGCTAGGAAAAGAAAATTAGATTCTCATTTTCAGAAAAAAATTGCAGATTGTCTCTTTCATACCTATACTCTAAGTTATTAAAATTTAAATGTTGAAAGTTTCAAAACTGTATAAAGACTTCAGAAGGATTTTTTATAGTATTAACTCTGAAGCAGTCTTTATAGCTTCGTTTATTTCTTCTAATGAAGTTAGCTCAGTTCACCAGTTATCTTACCAGCAACTTATGGTTTCAAAGACTGTTTGCTCATAAAGAATAAACAGTAATCAGTTATCACAGACTTTCTTTAATTGAATTATTTTTACCAATGCTAATGGTGAGGGCATTGCTTTGAGATTCTGTGCTAGTAGTTTCTCTCTTCTACAGACAGCAAACAGAGAAGATATAAATTTAAAGTTTTGGATATTAGAATGTCAAAATTTGGAAATGGACATCAATAAAATAATTGAGCATCAACTGGTAATCATTAGCATGACTTTTAAAGCAGAAGCATAAAATTATGTTAAGGTACTACACGTGCAAACGAAAATCAATTCATCAACTAAGATACCATGAATAAAATACTATGAAAGAGGCAAAATTAGGATATTATAACTTTTCAGGTGAGTTAAAAAAAAAAAAAATCTCTCAGTCAAGAGAATGTAGAATTAGTGAGGTACAAGGGTTGAGTAAAGAAAGATATTGTGGGGCTGCTTTCCAGTTCCACTCAAAATTCATATGGTTTTAGGTCAGTTAGGGAAGATGTATTTGAATGTGAAAACTCATGATGCTCAGAAATACTCTAGGGCTTTAACAATATGTGTGTGTGTGTGTGTGTGTGTGTGTGTGTGTGTGTGTGCAAAAAAAAAGGGCTCACTATCTAATATAAACAGATACTCTTATCAACAATGGCAGTTAGTCATTAACTCCTAGATAAATATTAATTCAGAGATGACTTCCAACTAATCTCTATAGCCAACCTGCACACATAATAAGGGTTACATGAGGTCATTTTAGTGTCCCTACAACATGCCTCTTACTTTGCTACAGCTAAAACACCCTCTAAATATTCATGACATATTTTTCAAAAGTCTTCTGTACTTAAACGTTTTGCTTACTTATTCTAGAGCCCCTGAAGGTGAAAGGCTAGTGCTGAGAAAAAGACGCTGGTCCCCGCTTGCAGTGGGTGGTTGCTTTCAGGTTATCCTTGCAACAATGTGACTGCCCAAGTTACACAGCTCTGTAAATCCCACCTGAGAGGTGGTCAGGGCATTCAATTTACTGTGCTTATAGTAAGGGCATGTCCTGTACAGTGACTCATTTTATCAAACTAAAAGGAGATCTGGGAAAATCTAAATATTGGACCATGATGAGTTTACCAACTTTTGCATTCTTACATTAGACTGTGTATCACAAATGGTGCTATCTGGCATATATGGAAAGCAGTCTCCACTTTTAATCACTTTCCTGAGAGACTCTGGGTTTTGTCAACTGCGTTTGTGTGCTTTCAGTCCTTAATTTTTCTGATACAAGAAAAGTATAGATACATCTAAATGTCCTAATAAAAAAACAAAACCTTTTAAATAATCCCACAAACAAAAGAATATTATGGAAGTGTCTCCCCAACAGTGAGGTAAGAATCACTACCCATCTTCAACATAAAGTAAACTGGAAAGTCCAAAAAGGATATGTGAACACCAAGTCATCTCTGGGTGGTAGAATGATAGGTGATTTTTAGTTCCTTCTTGATGCATATCAAAATTTTTTAATATATAGTGAAGATGTACTATTTAAATAATTTTAAAAGTAAAAAATTAAATTGAGAAAAATTTATGGAATTCTAAGGATATTTCTGTGATAAAACTTAAGATGAAATAAAATAAATGTTTAGGATAATACCTGATCCTTCTGAATTCTCATTTCATCAACTTCGCTTTCAGCATACTGAGGGTCTCTTGCAGGGTCCTTGACATCTTTTAATGTGTTGACACTCTGAAATCACAATTCTTCAAATCATTTCATGCCCATAGTCCAAAACCTTCAACGCAGGGTTATCAACTACCCTGCAAGCCAAGTTCTCGTTCCTCAGCTGGCCCTCGCTGCTGAGCGTCAGTTCAAATTCCCCCAGGTCCTCTCTCCCTCGTCTTTCAGATGTTGCCTCTCCCTTCTCTAACAACCAGCGAGAGCTCTGTTTGGAAGCAGAGTGAGAACTGTGTCTTACGCATCTTTTAAACCCCACAGTGCCTCATATACAGTAGATTTTTAGCAAATGTTTAATTGATTTTTGAGCATGTGAGTAGAAAACAAAGTTACTATAATAGGCCTGCTGAAACATTTCCCAATAACTGTTGAATAGTGCTGAAAATTCTTGCTTTAAAAGAATTAGAAATATATACCTTTGGTGGAAAGAGCTTTTCATACACTTTTTTCCACAATTCCATTGGTGAATGGGCATGAAACTTTCCAATGTCATTGTCAGGAACGGGAGGAGATCCTAAAATTGGAAGTTTTACTCCAAATGACTGCATTGACTAAAACATTACAAACTCTATCAATAAAACAGATGATACTTATAAAAATATAAATCTTAGATCACTCATTTCTCCTTTCCTGTAGTCACTATTAAAGTTTACCCCAACCCAGTGTAGCAAGGCCACTGGGGCAGATTCTAGTACCAGAGGAAGAGGAGATAGAGTAATGAGTAAACTATAATTCTCTTTCCCCACATTTAAATTGCTGCTTGGCAAAAATATAAAGTTTGATATTCTCATGTGTTCATGAATGTGTAAGGAAACAGTTATTCTTATGTGCTAATGAGTAGAATGCAAATTGGGACAGCTAAATCAGAGAGTAATAAGGCACTAGTGAATACTATGAAAATACTAAAAAAGGTCACACTCTATTAACCAGCAATTCCAGTTTTGGGTGTTTACCCTAGAAACACCTACATACATGTATTAAGGATTTCACATGGCTGCATCACTTGTATTAGTGAAAAATTGGCCACAACCGAAATGTCCATCAATAGAGGTATAGTGAACTAAATTACTATGCACAGCCATGCTCTATAACATTACCCAGCAGTCAAAGTACCAAATAGACTTACATGTAGCATTAATATGGAAAAAGGAAAACTTCAAAATGATATAGAATGATACAATTATATTAAAACAAATAGTTGTTTCTAATGGTACTGATGAACCTATTTGCAGGGCAGGAAAAGAGATGCAGACGTAGAGAATGGACTTGTGGACGCAGTGGGGAAAGGGGAGTGTGGGATGAATTGAGAGAGTAGCACTGATATATACACACTACCATGTGTAAAATAGACAGCTAGTGGGAAGCTGCTGTATAGCACAGGGAGCTCAGCTCGGCACTCTGTGATGACCTAGAGCATGGGGTCATCACATGGGATGGGGGCGGGTGGGAGGGAGGCTCAAGAGGGAGGGGATATATGTATACATATAGCTGATTCACTTTATTCTACAGCAGAAACTAACACAACATGGTAAAGCAATTATATTCCAATAAAAAAAAAGATATGGTACATATATACAATGGAATATTACTCAGCCATAAAAAAGAGTGAAATAATGCCATTTGCAGCAATGTGGATGGACCTAGAGAGTATCATACTAAGTGAAGTAAGTCAGTCAGAGAAAGACAAATATATGATATCATATGTGGAATCTAAAAAAATGAGGCAAATGAACTTATTTACAACACAGAAATAGACTCACAGACTTCAAAAACAAACTTAGGATTACCAAAGGGGTAAGGTGGGGGAGGGATAAATTTGGAATTTGGGATTAACATATACACACTACTATATATAAAATAGACAATCAACAAGGACCTACTGTATAGCACAGGGAAATCTACTCAATATTCTGTAATAACCTATATGGGAAAAGAATCTGAAAAAAGAATGGATATATGTATATGTATAACTGAATCACTTTGCTGTATACCTGAAACTAACACAACATTGTAAATCAACTATACTCCAATGCAAAATAAAAATTACATTAAAAAACAAAAAAAGTTTTTTCTATACCACATTCACATATATAGAAAATGGTCTGGAATATTAAACTTGATCCTAATATATACTATTTCAAGATTTTATATGGAGAATGTCTTTAGGTATTGCTTGTATAATTTAATTTAAAATTAAGTTAGCGCTTCCCTGGTGGCGCAGTGGTTGAGAATCCGCCTGCCGATGCAGGGGACACAAGTTTGAGCCCTGGTCTGGGAAGATCCCACATGCCGCGGAGCAACTAGGCCCGTGAGCCACAACTACTGAGCCTGCGCGTCTGGAGCCTGTGCTCCACAACAAGAGAGGCTGCGATAGTGAGAGGCCCGCATACTGCGATGAAGAGTGGCCCCTGCTTGCCACAACTAGAGAAAGCCCTCGCACAGAAACAAAGACCCAACACAGCCAAAAATAAATATACATAAATTTTTTAAAAGTCCCTCTTAAAAAACTGCCAAAATATACACCCTAATGAATACTGCCTTTCAAAATGAACCTGAAAAATAAAACAATTACAGTGTTTAAAAAAAAATTAAGTTAATATGAAAAATTTGAAAATATGCTGCCACTTCTTGGCAATTTTCAACCCACAGTCTGAGATTTGTCATTCTTTCTATTCTAGCATCTACATTGTTCACTAAGACTGTTTCACTCTTGATCTTTCAGGGCCTCCTTACCACTTTGGTGAGTAAGACACTGATATAACCCACCGATCTTACTTAGATTTCCCAAATCTCTTCCTTGTCCTCATTTGTGTGTGTGCGTGTGTGTGTGTGTGTGTGTGTGTATTGTACAGAATTTTATCACCTTTGTAGGTTCATATATTCACTACCACAGTCAAGATACTGAACAGTTCCATTCTCAGAAGGATCCCTTGTGTTGCCCTTTTATAACCACACCTACCTCCTCGATTCCTCCCCCTACCTCCCTACCTACAGTTCTGTCCCTAACCTCTGACAACTATTAATCTTTCCTCCATTTCTAAAATGTTTTCATTCCAAAATTTTATATAAATAGAATTATATTGTACGTAATCTTTTCTCATTGGCTTTTAAAATTTAGTATAATTCCCTGGAGATTCACCCAAGTTGCTGTTATGTATCAATAGTTTGTTCTTTTTTATTGCTGAGTAGTGTTCCATGGTAGGGATATACCACAGTTTATCCACTTACCTGTTGAATGATATCTGGGTTGTTTCCACTTTTGGGCTATTACAAATAAAGCTGTCATGAACATTTGTGTACAGATTTTTATGTGAACATAAGTTTTCATTTCTCCCACATAAATGCCCAACACTGCAATTTCTAGGTCATTTGGTAGCTGCAAGTTTAGTTTTATAAGAAACCATCAAACTGTTTTCAAGAGTGGCTGTACCATTTTACATCCCCACCAGCAATGTATGAGTGATCCAGTTTCCTCACATCCCCTCACAAGCATCTGGTGTTATCACTATATTTTATTTTACCTATTCTATTAAGTGTGTGGCGATATCTCATTTGCATTTCCTTAATGATTAATGATATTAAACATCTCTTCATGTGCTTATTTGCCATTTGTATATCCTTTTTAGTGAAATATCTGGGCATGTCTTTTGCATATTTTCTTTCTATCTATCTATCTATCTAGGCTGCACCAAGTCTTAATTGTGGCACATGGGATCTTTAGTTGCGGCAGGCAGACTTCTTAGTTGCACCATGTGGACTTTTTTTTTTTTTTTGGCTGCATTGGGTCTTCATTGCTGTGCATGGGCTTTCTCTAGTTGCAGCGAGCGGGGGCTACTCTTGGTTGTGGTGCATGGGCTTCTCATTGTGGTGGCTTCTCTTGTTGCAGAGCACGGGCTCTAGGTACATGGGCTCAGTACTTGTGGCTCACGGGCTCTAGAGTGCAGGCTCAGTAGTTGTGGTGCATGGCCTTAGTTGCTCCGCAGCATGTGGAATCTTCCTGGACCAGGGCTCAAACCCATGTTCCGGGCACTGGCAGGAGGATTCTTAACCACTGCCCCACCAGGGAAGCCCCATGTGGACTTGTTACTTGCGGCATGTGAACTTAGTTGATGCATGCACGCGGGATCTAGTTCCCTGACCAGGGATTGAACCTGGGCCCCCTGCATTGGGAGCGTGGAGTCTTCCCCACTGGGGAAGTCCTCTTTTGCATATTTTCTAATTGGATTTTTTTTTACTGTTATTTATATATTCTAGATACTAGTCCTTTGTAAAATATGTAGTTTGAAAATATTTTCTCCCAGATTGTAGCATGTCTTTTTATCCTTTTCACATGGGCTTTTTTTTTTTTTTTTGCGGTACACAGGCCTGTCACTGTTGTGGCCTCTCCCATTGCGGAGCACAGGCTCTGGACGCGCAGGCTCAGCGGCCATGGCTCACGGGCCTAGCCGCTCCGCGGCATCACATGGGCTTTTAAGAGCAAAAGTTTTTAATTTTGATGGGGTCCGAGCTCCATGATTTTTAAAAAATTTATTGTATTTATTTGATAGCACTGGGTCTTAGTTGCAGCAGGCGGGCTCCTTAGTTCTGGTATGTGAACTCTTAGTTGCTGCATGCATGTGGGATCTAGTTCCCTGACCAGGGATCAAACCCTGGCCCCCTGCATCGGGAGCGTGGAGTCTTAACCACTGTGCCACCAGGGAAGTCCCTCCATGATTTTTTAAATTCAGTATTTTTCAACCCTTTTCTGACCTCCAACTACTTACATGGGCAAAAGATTTCCATCAGCATTATCTATCATTACAGTGATTCTCACTGCTAATGAAATTAAGTTGGTAATAATAAGTATTATAAAAATCAGTATTTATAATCACTCATTAATACCTCTATTCTTTTCATTCCAATTCAATCTACAATCTCATGACAAAGATCTCTACATTCGAAGTCAAGTCAACTTTAGCTTATAACAGTAACGGGGGATGGGAAATAAAAAAGAAAATTATTGTCTATTAGAGTGTTAAAACCAAACTATGCCAACCCCAGCATATAGAGTTGCTAGGCCTGAGAATCTCCACAATGAAAATAGCTTCTGTGAGAAGATAAGGAGCTTGCCTACATAAATGCTTGAAATTTCTTTTGCTTCATGAGTCTAGGACATCTGTAAGTTTAGGAAACACATCCCATTGGATGAGAGGCAATTTTTCATAATGAAAAATTAAGGCATACCTAGTTAGTACAACTGTGTTCTTTTTGATTTATTCCAACACTTGAATCTCAGATTTTTCATCATTGCCCATAATATATAGCTTTGAATTTCCTGACCACTCTATGCTTCTGGTTTTCTTCTAAATGCAAGGAGCTAAAATTTAAAAGTATCTGGAAATCAGTGAGGGAAAGAAAATACATGCAAAATTTTTAGTGGAATATAGATTAGAAATCTATATATAGATTTCTATATATAGATCTATATATAGATCTATATAGATATAGTGGAATATAGATTAGAAATCAGTCTCTTATGTGACAACATCCCTTCCATCACAAATATGTCAATGTGATGCATTTTGCATCAATACTGTGTATACAAAGAATAACAGCAACAATAATGAAACCGGAAATGATGGTTAGAGTTAGGAGATGTTGGAGATGAAGTGAACAGGGAGTAGGACAAAATCAATAAGCAATTAAAAAACCACTGAACAATCTTAATAAGTTCACCAACCTATTTGACTTAAAGAATCCAATCCTGCTGTGACAAACAGTGGTTTATTCTGATCCACACATGTTGATTTGCTACATGGATAAGAAGAAAAAAGAATCCAATTAAGTTTAGCAATCAAATATCCTGCCACTCTCTACGGTAAATACAAGAGCCAAGTTTTATATCTAGCCACTGGTGACAGCATTGCTCAAAATGAATGAATGAATATTAATATGATTCCAAAAATTAAAGTAGAGCACTAATAAATGTATTATAGGAGAAAAAAAAATGACAGACCCAAATTACCTCAAATCAAAACCAAGGAAAGTTAGCAAGGATAAGAAAAATACACACTAAAATGATTGATTCCACTTCTAATCAATATAAAAAAGTGATAATAGCGGGAAGGCTACTGAAATGAGGGAAAAGAAGTAAAAGAAATCAGGGAAACAAGTATAATAGTATCATTGTTTTGTCTAGTCTCAAACTAAGTATTATATAACATTTTAGTTGTAAAATTTGATAAATATTTAAACAATATAAGAAGCAGGAGACAATATGAAATTATCTCTAAGAACAGTCATCTGAGGCACTTTCCTGGTCACGAAGCAAAAGACTTGTGAGAACAATAATCAGATGAGACAATAACAACAGCAAAAAAAAAAAGATAAAAAGATATTTAAAAAATATTTTAACAGTACCTTTTGTCAATGCCAAATGCCAACTGGTTAATAACTCCACGTATTTTTAGTAATAGAGCTTCTGATTTACTGGTAAACTAGAAAGAAAATAAATCAGGAGAATAAATTACATGCTCTGCTTTCAGATCACAGAAACAGGTAAAATAAATATGGCTTTGAACAAGTACAGATTGCAGAGAGAAATACTATCTATTTGTCCAACAATACTTGTGTTTCAGTAAGCAAAACAAAACCTTTGAATAAAGGGAAAGAAAAATCTCAGTAAATTTGTTTTAACTTACTCTTCAAACTTCATGAGTGCATGATATTGAATGGACTTGTTTTTATGCACTGATCATTTCCACTACTCCCACAAATGGATCGTAATCATTGCCAAAATGCAATCTGGTTTGTTTAAAATGTAGGAGGTATGCATCATAAATAACTTTTTCACCTAAGGGCATATGACTGTCTTCAAAGCAGTTAATGTGGGAGTTGCAGATTAGTCCAACAGATACTGATACTCACTAAAACCTTTTTTTAACTTCTCTTCTGAATTGCCTTTGGAACCTGCAAAATAAGCTACTATATTCTCAGTGGTGGTCTATAACTAGAATGATCATAACCAGAACATTTTAGAGAACGAAACGGGGTGGCTACTATTAATCATTAATCTGAGAAATCAGGTGAAACTAGGACATATGGTTACCCTACAAATCTTTTAAGACTAATTTGATTTTTGGAAATACCAAAGTCACCCAGCCAAATAAGAATGACCAAGATGTATGAAAGTGGGAAAAACAATCTTGAACCAAAATGAGATGTAATTATAATGTACAGAGTTCAATTTTCAGGATAATATTCATTCTGGATTAAGAACAGGCTCCAGGGAAAACATTCAAAGGAGAACACTCAGGTGAATATGTAAGATTTTATTTATTTATTTATGCATGCATGCATGTGGTACGTGGGCCTCTCACTGTTGTGGCCTCTCCCGTTGCGGAGCACAGGCTCCGGACGCGCAGGATCAGCAGCCATGGCTCACGGGCCCAGCCGCTCCACGGCATGTGGGATCTTCCCGGACTGGGGCACAAACCCGCGTCCCCTGCATCGGCAGGCAGACTCTCAACCACTGCGCCACCAGGGAAGCCCCTGATACATTTATTTTTAAAAATTGAAAAATTTTAGGCTTCCACTGAGACAATTTTCTAATATGAAAACTTTAGTTGAATTTTAAAAACACAAGTTTTCATCATCATCATTATTATATTATCTATTATGTTCCCTATATGGTGAGGAAAAAAACCTCGTCACAAATGTCTTTCACAGGACGTGGGAAGTTTTCTAACTCAACCCCACCCCCATCTACTGCATCAACTGCCTTGAAAACATCCTCCAGAAATAGCTGTAGAGCTTTTACTTATGAACTCAATGCCTGGGAACTCATAATCTCCAAAAGCAACTCATTCCATTTTCAGATAATGGTAGCATTAGAAATTTCTTTCTTAATTTGAACTAAGCTCTATTGATTCCTTGTTATTGACTCTAAGAAAGCAAAGAATATATTTAATCCCTCTTCCATGGATCAGTCCTTCGAATGTTTAAAGAGTGTTATCACAATCCCGATGCCAGAATATATGTTTATACTGTTCCTCATACATCTTAATTCTAAGTCCCCTAACATCCTGTTGGCTCTCCACTGAATGTGGTTCTACTTACCAATGTTTTTGTTTGTTTGTTTTTGTTAACTTGATTAGATTGCTCATACTATCAAACCAGTATTCTTGACTGAATTATAAAGGATAAACTATAGTGTTAAAAACAAAAAAGACTGCTGAGTATCATTGAACCTTGTAAAGCAGTACGCAACTCTGGGCTGTAGGGTAAGAGTGGAAGTGAAACTGAAAGGTGGGGCTTTGATAACTCTGGCTGCTTTCTTCTTGGTGTGGGAAGCTAGAAAAGCTTTATGGTTCCCCTGGTGGTCCAGAGTGCTCTTATAACCCCAACCTCTGAACCCTCTGGCTTACTGAAAGCTGAGATGGAGTCTCAAATCCTTTCCCTAGTCCCTGACCTTCTAGGGTCTTTTGAACCATGGTTAACTGCAGGCCTGCTGTGGCCTGGGTTGACCTGACTTCACCTAAATTTGTATCCGTAAGACCAGACTGGCCCTGATGGATCATCAAATGTGATCTGTTCCTAAAGAAAGACAGGGATTTCCCTCGGCGAACTAACCAGAAGTAAGTATGGGGCCTTATCTAGTGGTGAAAGTAAGAAACTACAAGATCCATGGTCTTTGCTTCTGTACTCTGAATGAGTAATTTACTTTAAATTCGTCATATCTTTTTCAAAACAATAAAGAATATTTTTGTGGTTGCCAAGGGGGGGGTTGGTGAGGGAAGGTTGGATTGGGAGTTCAGGATTAGTAGAGGCAAACTATAATATACAGAATGGATAAACAACAAAGTCCTACTGTACAGCACAGGGAACTATATTCAATATCCCATAATAAACCATAATGGAAAAGAATATGAAAAAGAATTTAAAAAAAAGAATATTTCCAAAGTACTCTGTCAACCTAATATGTAAGCAGATACAGTACAAACATAAAAGGTAATGATTTTTAAGAAAATACACAATAAAATATATTTGGAGCATTCTGAAAAGTATAAAAATTTTAAATACAGATCATATTTATTACTTTTCATCTTAATATACTAGCCACGAAGGCTGGGGACTAGGCCATGTTTTCTACAGGTTCCTCTGAGCACTCTGATTTAGAGGGAAAAAGAGACCATTCAAATGGGAAGAAAGTTTTTCCTTTTTTTTTTTAAATAAAAAATGCGTTTATGTTTTATTGTGTTAGAGGATATCCAGCAACATTTGGTCCTGCTGTGGAAGATGATGTAACAGTAATTATAAGAACCAGCCTTGGGCTTCCCTGGTGGCACAGTGGTTGAGAGTCCGCCTGCCAATGCAGGGGATGCGGGTTCGTGCCCCGGTCCGGGAGGATCCCGCATGCTGCGGAGCGGCTGGGCCCGTGGGCCATGCCTGCTGGGCCTGTGCGTCCGCAGCCTGTGCTCCGCGGCGGGAGAGGCCACAACAGTGAGAGGCCCGCGTACCGCAAAAACAAAAACAAAGAACCAGCCTTTACTGAACTTTGTGTCAGACCCTGTGCTAAGCATTTCACAGTACTCGGGCTACTAATCCTCACAACAACCCTATGAAGAAGGTATTGTTTTGTCCATTTTACCAGGAGACTGAGGCTTCAGTGAGATTAAGTGACTTGTCTGAGACCACATATCTAGTAAGTGGTTGCCCAGGCAGCATGACTCCCAAGTTCATATTTTTAACCTCTACAACAAACAGCATTTAGGTTTTAAAAAAATTGTTAGTCTTTTTCTCTTTTCTTTTAAGAGAACATAGATTCTAATTTTTAAGGGGAAACGAAAACATAAATAAATAAACAACCAATTTATCTCTTTAATATTGATGGGGGTTTATGGCTATTAGAAATTTAGAACTTTTGCTTCAAAGAAATGGTAGGCCATCTAGCAGAGTGTGTTCTAGAAATACATTATAAACACTCCGTAACAAGAGGGTTTTGAGGCAATGGGAAAGGAGAGAATGACATGCATTAGTAAAAGCATTAGCATTCATAACTGTGCACCAAGCTGTTAATCTTTCCAAATTTGTTACTGTCCGTTCAAACCCAAAGGATAGGAAATGTACAAACCATTAATGATGCTCCGTAATAATGTGCAACAAATCGAAGTGTCTTGCATATTACCTTCCTCTTCTCAGAGTCAAAATCCTGAAGAAATACGTTATTAAAAAGAAAAAAGTTGAGAGAACTAGTGTCTGTAGCAGAAAGGTGCAAATTATTCAATACAGAAATAGATTTTCTTATTTATTTTTTGGAACATACCTTGAGTAGGATTCTATTACCTTGGCATTTGTTTCTATAGAGAGCTGAACAGTAGCTGCAGCCTTCTAGAGCTGCAGCTACCAGATCTTTCCTTGTTTAAACACTTAGCTCAATAGAATTTAGATATAAGCACACATTTTCTAGTGCGGAATACCCCAAGGATTCTCTGACAAGCAAAGATAAGAAGAAACTAATTTTCTACTTTCTTAGATTTAAAAGTTGGGACATAGGCCCTGTCCCTTGGTGACTGGACTGGATTCAGTTTCTAAATCTTCTGCCATATCCCCATTCCACTGTATTTACTGTTCCTTACCTATTTTCTCTTTCCCAACTATATCCTCTTTTCCAAAATCTTTAAGATGTGTGACCCCTTGACCTCTCCCTCCCAGAGTCATTTTTGTCATTTCATTATTACTTTTGTTCCTCTCCTATAAAGCCTAGGCATGCAAGTACAACAAGCTCAACTAGAAGTGGAAGAGCTTACCTGAAAAATATCGTATTTACTTCCAATTATGACCAGAGGAATTGGAAATGGGTCAATTAATTCACGATCCTGTTAACAAACATATTTCATTGATTCATTATAATTGTTTATTACTATGTATTCATCAATTTCCACTTATATCATTTTAAATCTTCCCATAATGTTGACATTGTTTGCTTGACATAGAGGTTGTTTCAATATTGAATTTCTTAAACTATCAATACATTTCTCAAGCATAAAACTAGAAATGACAATTCCCTAAACTATGATATTTATTCTTCATGTTGTATCCTTTTATTTTCTTAAATATGTCACCTTCCTGTTTTTTTTTTTTATTATTTCGTATTAACTGTTTGTTACAATAACATTTATACATGGGAACCATAAACTATCAGTTTTGTTCTGATATTACCTTTGTAAAACGCACTCACATAAACTCTGGGCAATATAAAATACTGCTCTTGGTTTTCTAGAAGACGACATTCATGATTGTATATAAAGGACTTACTTGTGTTATCATATTGCAAGTTTATAGTTTAATTAATTATCAGATGATAAAAAGATATTGATTATGTGACAGACACTAAATGAATGTAAAGTATAGTGATGGTAAAGGCTGTTAAAATTCTATTCCTTGCTTAAAATTGTAGTCTTATCTAGCCTTTGCCAGGTGACATTTGTACAACCTGGTGTTTTATCTTCATTTTACAGAGATTATAAAATCAGTATCAAACTACTACTTTAAAACTCTATTCCTTTTGATTGGTGTAATATGCCATAACAGTCACAGTAGATGTCTAACAAGAAGACATATGAAATCTTTTTCCTTGTTTTGCCCTTACTGAGGTTTTATTAAATTGCTATAATTTTCCAGTGAACAGGTTCATCTACATGAAATGAATTTCAACTCATGCATAAAAATCTAAAGAAGTTGTTTGTGATGTTATCTTTAACTGTATATGGGGCTAAGAATTCTAGGGATAATCCCAACAGTAACTCACTGGATGGTCCTTCTGCATATTGCTCCATATCTTCTGTCTCATTTCAGAAACTGCTTTAGCATTTTTCTTCCCCAGTTTCATCATCACTTTATCTACATGAAGTTTTGTGGCTTGCAACAGATTTTCCATGGTGGGCCAAAGGTCATTAGGTTTCGAAAGGTCCAAAACAAGAACAATAGAAAATGTCCTAAAGAAATAAAAACATGTTTCAAAAAAAAAAGTCAAAATAATTACCATTTGAAGCCATACTATACTGAAATTTATTTTCTAAAAATAACACTATAGTTTAAGAAAAAAAACCCCAGCAATGTCCTAAGAAAAAAATGCCAAAATTATAGCCTTATTTATTCTAGTGCTTTTCCCTAGTGATATTTAAGTGTCACAACTGAAGTTTTTGTTTGAACTAGTAATAATCCAGTTCAAATAATCGGCAAGTAATTGGGTCCAACAATGCCATATTTAGATCCACTTTTGCTGTGTGCTCCAAAGAAGGGAAGCAAAAATAATAATCACAGCAGCAGCAACAATGCAACAACCTGGTGAAGGAGAAGAAAACAGATTTACTGATGGTCCTTGCTAGGAGGACTACCTAACTTATTTACTCTTAACAACAACACTTCCTAGAAGATGTTATGACGGCCATTTTATGGATTAGAAATCTGAGGCACAGATTCATATAACTAGTAAATTGTAGAGCTGGTATTTACATCCAGAGCCACGTGCCTTTCTGCTGTACCTTGCTGCCTCTCTGAAAGCACACCCCTGGCCACCACACACACCACCACTGTGACCACATGCATGTGTGCTCATGTTCATGTAAATCTAACCTCAGCAATAACAACCCAATTTAAAAAGGGCAAATAACTCAAATACACATTTCTCTATTTAAAGGTATACATATGGCCAATAAACATATGAAAAGAGGCCCAATATCACTAATCATTAGAGAAACCCAAATCAAAACCACAATGAGATACCGCTTCACACCCATTAGGATAGCTATGATAAATAAAAGTAAAAATAAACAAAACCCCCCAGAAAATAACGAGTGTTGGTAAGGATATAGAGAAATTGGAACCCTGGTGCATTGCCAGTGGGAATATAAAATAGTACAGCAGACACTGTGGAAAGCAGTACAGTGGTTCCTCAAAAAATTAGAGGATCCTGCAATTCCACTTCTGGGTGTTTTGAAATCAGGGACTCAAATAGATATTTGTATACCAATGTCCATAGCAGCATTACTAGCAATTGCCAAAGGGGGGAAATGACCCAGATGCCCATCAGTGGGTTAAGAGATGAACAAAACATGGTATATACATACAATGAACTATTATTCAGCCTTAAAAAGGAAGGGAATTCTGATACATGCTACAACATGGATGCATCTTAAAGACATTATGCTAAGTGAAATAAGCTAGACTCAAGAGGACAAGTATTATATGATTTCATTTACATAAGGTACCTAGAGTAGTCAAATCATAGAGACAGAAACTAGAATGGTGGTTGCCAGGGGTTGGAGAAGGAAGAAATAGGGAGTTATTATTTATTGGGTACAGTTTCAGTTTGGGCAGATGAAATGTTCTGGAGATGGATGGTGGTGGTGGCTGCACAACAACATGAATATACTTAATGCTACTAAACTGTACATTTAAAAATGGCTAAAACTGTGAATTTTATGTTATGATATTTTACAATAAAAAACGAACAAATATAGGAGTATTTCAGAAAATGGTCATAATAAGTATGTAGAACCATAATCATGGGCCAATATATTTTTGATCAACAGGGCAAACATTCTGCTAGTAGATATAGCAAGGAATTATAATACATGCTAGTTATAATACAGTCAAGTTATTTTGCTTAGTTTGAGCAAATCAGCTGTGTTGTGTAATTAAAGCAGAACAGTAGCTAAATTCTACACTATAGGTCTAAATCCAGAAAGTAGTCTTTTTAGACATTAATTAGCAAGATTTTCTATAAAATTATTGAGCCATTAAATTCTCTAGCCAACTACATCTATGTCATTTTAATAAGCTCAGAACCAGTTTTGCTTAATTGTAACAGAATATACATAAGTGAGGATACTATACTTTCACAGTTTTAGTATGGTTAATGTTTAAAAAAGAGAGGACTATGGTTGAACTTTTTTTAACTGTGGTAATATATTAAACATAAAATTTATCATTTTTTCCAAATGAAAATAACTTTGTTTTAAGCAAAGGAGAAATGGATTATTCAACTTTTTTCTAAGATTAAGATTTATGTTGCCAGTGCACTGGAAATATCTGTGTTACTTTTACCTTCATAGCAAATGACAGCTAAAAACATTTTTTTTAAAACACGACCTTTTAAAACAGGGAAGTGGACCACAGGAAATGCTCTGTTACAAATTATCTAAGGTCTGTGGAAATGTTCAGTGCATCTATAATTATTCTATGAACAGGCATCTTAAAGATAAACAGTATCTAAGAGCACTGGTACGGCTGCTGAGGTCGCTGGGCTTCGTCCAACACAAGGAAATTATATGTCAAATTAATTCCAGCCACAAAACACTCTGAGATTTGCAGCTACATGAGGAGTGAAATGCTTTCCATGAATTCTTCCATCACTCAGCAAGCTACTCTGGACCCAGGCCTATGGCGCCCCTGCCCTCTGTTCATCATAACCCTGACCCCTCTTCTCTCCTAAAGCAGGCTCAAGCTGCCCTGGAGTTCCAGGCAAAGAAGACCAAGGACTCACAAAGTGAGGCATTAAAGAAACTGGAGAGGTTTGGCTTCCTGCAGAAACCAGAATTTCTACAAGCCCGTGAGGTCTAGAGAAGGGAAGTGAGGTAGTATGGCAAGGTGAAGTGCAAGTCAGGGCCAGGTAAGAGCTGCTCCCGGCCTTTTCAGTCCTGCCAGCCTCAGGCCAGGCTGGCTGGCAGCTCTGGGTCCTTCAGCTCCTCCCCGTCCGCGCCATCTCTTCACAACCACACCACCGTGAGCTGCCCGAATTCCCAGGCAGCTTCGATTATTTGTCTCTGTTAAAGGAGGACAAATGAAAACTATGCAGCTGTAAAATCCCATGATTCTGAAAAGTAATGTCAGGGGAAAACGGTGGTTATAAGTGAAAAAGCAAGATCTAAATCTATATACATACAGTATCCCATGCCTGTACAAAGTATGTTTATGAACACTGAAAACACTGAAAGAAATACCTCAATATGTTGATAGTTCTTTTTCATGTGATTGAGGATGCTTTTACTTTCTATGTACCTTTCAGTATTTTTCCAAGTTTTCCATATGGGCATACATTACGTTTGTAATAAGTAAAAGACAGTAAATCATATTTCTTTAAAAGAAAAAAAAAATCACTGGACAAATAAAGCCAACATTACCGGCTAGTTATAGAAAAACAATTATCCTGTTAACAAGAAATAACTCCATACTCTAAAGATCTTAATGGCTGAAATTTAACAAATAATTGTCAAGCCCTTTGTATGTGGTCCAGGCAGCAGCAACCGTTTGTGTTAAACTCTGACAGGAGTAAGATATTTCAGATTTAAAAATTTTGTTTTCCTTGGCTAAGATGACAGTTTTCCACATCTGATTTGGCCATGTGTGGGAGTCATTGTTAGGAAAACACCACCAAAGAGTTTGAGGTTTTCCCTCAGGTTCTGTTTCTTTTAGGTCAGCAAATAGAGACTTTCTTCCTCCACTGACTCGTAGACTTCCCCTGGATGAAGCTTCAATGGTATTAATTAGCATTAAGTTCAAAGTAGACATAATGTCCAGCTGCAGGAAAAACTCAGGGCTGAATTAGCTCACGCTTGGATGGGTGTTAGAAATAATTGTTTTCAAATTTATTTTTCCCAAGTGAATTCATTGCCCAAGTGTTATTTGACATATTTTGTTTGTTTGCAGGCTTGCAAAATACGTTACTAGTTGGAATGCCAACTATTTCACTTCAGCACAGGCCAGAACCTTGGTTCTTTTAAAATCTCTGACAGCATTACAGTTTAAGCACATAGAAAGGAAGTGAACTGTAGGCAACATAAAACCGTCCCTGCAAATTCTGGTTCACAAAAGCCTACTCATATTCATCCTGTGGTCTCCACTGGATACTTTCTAACAACTGTTCCTGGAGCTGGCCACACTTACCGTAAGGTGTCACTTGTGATTGGTATGCTGATTAAATCCAGTAAAGAGGTTCCTCCACCTAGTTCCCAAAAATGAGCAATATCTTTTGGCTGAAAAAACAGGGTTTTTTCAAATTAATGTTCTTTGATATTTTTACATTTTAAATAGTTCTTATGTTTCATTAGTACCAGCCAGTAATAATTATGGATACAAGATATTATAGTCCTCAAGACCATTTCTTGGCAATTTTTTGAAAGTTAAGGAAAGGAAATTTTTTCCTTTCTCTATTCCATCCCTCAAAATGCACCAAAACCTCTATTCCAAAGAACAAAAATGAAACATTAAGAATGTACATGTATACTAAATGCCCTAATTCTACCCTAACCTAATAGAAGACATTAAACAGTGCCCCAATTCTGTAAATATCACATGTAGCAGACACTCACTCAAATTAGAAATAAAATTAACAAATTGAACACATTTGGAATTATCTTTTTGAAAACAGTTATAATTTTAGATAGAAATAAAACAGTTGAACAGGAAAACATCCTAATTGAGGGAGGCAGAAGCTCACAAAATAAATCAGACACACAGACAAGACATGAGGAAATGGGAAGAACAGGTGGCAGTTCGGGCTGCAGACTGGAATTTCCCGGGCAATAGTATATAAGCAGCTGGTCTGTGCCTGACTTCCCTGGGGAATGTGACCGGCTGGCACTGGCCATACAAGTGGTAGGTGGGGGAACAAGGAGAGACTCAACAACTGTTTCCCTTTTTAGAGGACTCCAACACTAGGGGATTGAAAGGGCTGGGCAGCCAAAGGGCTGGGTAGCTTGGAAATAAGACCATCTATTCCATGACAGCTCTCCTACACCACCAGCTAGCTGATGGCATCTCTGCCTCTGGCCAGATACTAAGGAACCTTCAGGACACCAAGATTGTGTGAAGAGCTGATAAAGCTCTTCCACTTAGAACTTTTAGGAGACATTAAATCTGAGAAAGATGTGAAGCCCATCTTTGAATGAATATGGAAAAGCCCAACTTGATAGCACAAAGTTTAACAGAAACAAATAGGTGAAAAAGAATCACATGAGTTTTTATGTGTCTAATACCATGAACTTGGAAGAGGCAGGTGGTCATTAAAGCAGTTTTAGATGAATATATATATTTTGCATTTTTGACAAGTTATCTCAACCATTAAAATTGTTTTGCGGTTGCTATTTGAATCATTAATGTTTGTGGGGGAAATAAGTTTGCATTGGAAAATCTCCCTTGATTCACAACTGGATGAAGAAAAGTTTTTAGAGCTCTTGAAAGTTAAGCTTATGAAAGTTGTCTCAGAATTTCCCATGAAAAGGATAACTCCATTTCTAGGCTTATCACTCATGCAAAATTCATGTGAGTCACAAAAAATAAAGTCCTCCCCCATCTCATTACTTTTTTTCTTTTCTCTTTTTAATTTCACAGTTTTAATAACCAGCTTGGCACTGGTGAATCCAGGAAGCAGCAACAGCCCATTTTAACTGTTTATATACACTGTCTAATAATCAAACACTTGGACTGGATCAGTCTATAAAAATTTGCCTCTGTTATGGGAGATATGGGACCTTCTACTGTATTCTAGATTGTTCTTCCGTACATCTAATTTTATTTTTAAAAGACCTCTTTTTCATATGAGAACTCCAAAAGAGAATTCCATTTAGGAATTTTTATTCCTCTAACATACACTATAAGTTCTCCCTGTACCCTGAACAATGTCTAATTTTCCTCTGTAGATACACTAACACAGTGAAAACAGGATTATAGCCAATTAGGGCCTGTGGTCTCAAATAGCATTACCAACTTCAAGATGTATTTGTAAAAATGCTAATAATCTGGATTTTGACCAGTATTTTTTCATAAATATTCCACAGGTCAAATTCATATTTTTAGCAGATTTTTTGGAGACAGAAGATAACTCATGATGTTATTCTCATTTGAAAGAAGAAAATATGCCAAAAAACTGTACAATAAAGTTACAAAGGAATCCAATTCAAGCATTTTAAGACATAACAAATGAGAAGGCCAAAATATTTCCCCACAGTTAGGTTGGCTTCATATGTGCTGAGTTGCATTTGAGTTAAAAAGTACATAGCTATGAAGTGTACAGCTGGATATGTGCAATGATTGTAGGTAAGATGGAAAATATAAAATACAACGTCAGTATCCTCACTTCTCCATGTATGTGTAGCGCAGCATCACCAAAAAGACACTCACTATGTTATGTCCTTTTGCTCTCCTTCCATATGTATATTCCAAGGCTAAGGTTGGTTTTGCTGGCTCATCCCTGCACAATAAAAGACAGGTAGTATTACCATCATGGGTGGAATTATTTTCTTATGTTATCATCTTACCTGATTTATTTTTGCTTCCTCTTAAAAACTTTGATTAGTAGAGAAGTTACACCTTGTATAACACATTGAGATAAAAATGATTAAGAATTTATACAAAAATTAAATAAGCCTTCAAAACACCATCTTTAGTAGCAACTGCAGAGCATAATGGCACCTGCATGTAGTGGCAGCGCCTAGCAACACTGCTGGGGGAGTAGAGAAGGTGCTGGCAGTGTTGGTGGCCATGTTAGGGCACAAGCTCTCTGCATGCAGGCCACGTGGGAAGCACTGACAGCAGGTTTGTGCTCAGCCTTGATGTGGGGAGCTGGGAACCTAATGACTATCAATTTAACGGCAACATCAATGAAAGACTTTTATACAGTTCTCAATCTGAAATCACGGTTCAAACGTAGGCATCATTTAGCTAATGAGAGCTACAAACAAACAAGACTTTCCTTATCAACTTCCTGCAACACCTACCAATCATAATCCTAAATCTTAATCTGGTGGCATGCTTCTATGGTATAGAAGATTAGGAAGTATATAAAACAAATGGTAACATGCACAGTTTAAAGACCAATAATGTGCTTCAAAAGTAAACCCATGAGAGGGGTTCCCTGGTGGCGCAGTGGTTAAGAATCCATCTGCCAATGCAAGGGACACAGGTTCAAGCCCTGGTCTGGGAAGATCCCACACACTGCGGAGCAACTAAGCCCGTGCGCCACAACTACCGAGCCTGCGCTCTAGAGCCCGAGAGCCACACAACTACTGAAGCCCACATGCCTAGAGGCCGTGCTCCACAACAAGAGAAGCCACTGCAATGAGAAGCCCACACACCGCAAAGAAGAGCAGCCCTCGCTCGCAACTAGAGAAAGCCCACGCGCAGCAACGAAGACCCAATGCAGCCAAAAATAAAAAAAAATAAATTAAAAAAAAAGTATACCCATGAGCAATTCGAAGATTGTAATTAATGTTCAAATAGTCATGAACTAGATAGAACTAAAAAGTTTAAATACCAGAGTAGCAGAGCCAAAATAAGCAAGTACTATGGTAGACTGAGTAATTATGTTAATTTCTCCCCCCAAATAAGGAAATCCAATATTAATCCTGTACAATTTCTTTTTGCTTGTTGTTGGTTTTATCTTTAAAGGAGATTGTAAAAGCCATAATAAGGATTCACTAAGAATTAAAATATTTTGTTTCGGCCTCAAAATTATTCTCTTTCCATGTGCCTTTTAGATTCTAACTTGCCCTACACAACAAGAAAAAGCAAATGTAGTCTAGAGGTTAACCTAACACTTACCTGTCAAGACACCTTAGAATAATAGTAGTCTTTCCCTGGAAATTCAAAAAGAAAGAAATACTGTGTTAATGTCATCCACATGTAAAATTTTATTATTGTTCATAATTGTGGCCCAAAATAGCTTTTAATCACTTGAATGATAAATTACCTGGAAACTAGAAACTTTCAGAATTATTCCTAAGTTTGATGAGTAGAAAAAGTTAACTGTCAACTTTCCATCAGAGTGCAACTACACTGCTATTATTATAATTATAAAGTTCCGCAGATGACAAATACTAGCAAATCAAACCTCATTTTAGTGGTCAACTTGGCAGCTGTCTTAAATTTTCTCTCTACTCATCAATGCTAATTACTGGTTAAGCTGATGATTAGTGTCTTCTAACATGTTTTAATTCCAATTTGTTGAAGTGGAAATAAAAAAAGATAACATACAAATAAAGGACATGTTGAAAATATGTTCCAAGTAAGCAATCCAGATACCAGGTTAGAGTACTTTTTTGGGTTTGTTTTATTTCTAGGAGATGTATTTATTCTACATTTCTTTTTAGGAGTAAGGATATATAGGATGGCATATAGGATATCCCATCTCTGCCACTAATCATGAAACTTAACTTCACATCTTAACCAGGGACTGGCTCAGTGGTTTAAATCATTGTGTTTGTTTTCTTAAAACTATTTTTTTTAAACAAACAATCTCTTACAAGAAAATGGACAAAAGAGAAGCAGAGGGGAAAGCTCTACCGAAGGAAACCTTCAGGATCCAAAGAAAGCAGTTTGGAAAACTGTGGACTCTACCAAAAACACAGATTATTTTATTATACATGTGTTTTTTTAAGCCAAGAAAGCTATAATATTTACCAAAAAAAAAAGATAATCATAAATAAATGACTCCACATTATATCTGGGCTATGATCAAATTGAATGACTTATTTTGGTAATGAGATATGTAAATAATTGGAATAGTACTAAAAATATATATTATTGAAGGATATTTATTGGTAGGTGTTATATCAGAGTGAAAAACTAGTAACAATCTAAATGTCCCAAATAGGGAACTGATTGGCTATATTAATAACGGCAATCCATATAATGGAATAACATGCAGCTAACAGGAATGATGACGTAGGAATATACATACTGACATGGTAAGACATGCATAATAGATTATGCATGACCCTGTTTTCAGTTAAAAAGCTTCTTTTCCTACTTCTTTGAGATGCACATACATACATAATATGCATAGATACAGAAAGAGAGAAAAAAATACAAAAATGGATCCAGAGAGACATCACATGTTAACAGTGAATGTTTCCAGGTGATAACTTTGTAGGTGATTAATTTTTTTTAAGAAAATAAAGATCTTCTAATTATCCCTTACCGAATGTGTACATGTAGAATATTTTTAAAGTTTTAAATAAATGAGGACTATAATACCTAAAAATTAATGTATTCTATGTACAAGAAAGTATACAGAATTACTGTATTTTAGAATTGGAAGGAATCTTAGATAATATCTAGCCAATTTTCTCAAGTTCTCATGATCCCATAGTGTTGATTTAAATTATTTTTATTATAATTTCATTTAAATGTATAAGACTACTTGGTGGAATTCCAAATAAACTCAACTCTGGGCACTGAAGTCAACTTTTAGATTACCATTAAAATAATGATCCAAATTTTAAAAATTCACTAGTAAACTGTTGCGCTCTGAGAATGCATCCACAGACCCTCGGGTTTCCTAGTCCAAGAAGCACTGACACAGTACAAGTTCATTTAGAGACTATCAAAATGAATCCCATCTTCCCTTCTATTACTTCAATCACAGCAGTAGAGTAAACAATTACTCTACTTCTCTTCTCTGGCAAGAATCTTAGAGGCTTGTATCAGTCTACCCTCATGGGTGCCATCTCTTCTGGCTTACAGTCTCCCTCTCCCTCTCAGCTACTGTCATTAGTCTTGTTAACTTCACACCCACATGGGCACGGGCAACCCACCTAAGACCCCGACCTCTCAGTCCCCTTTGCCTCCTCAAGAGACTTTTTCCTTCACTCTACTTCTGCTACATGTCACTTTCAAGGTTCTATTTTGAACCATTTCACTACTGGAAATTGTACCACTTCCAAAATCACACAAACAACACATTCTCTAACCACTTTTTTAGGAACCCCACAGGAATAACTCTTTAGCTTTAGTGAGAGGCCTCCAACGTCCATCCATCCTTCTGGGACACAGCTGGAAAGAGAGGGGTGCTCAGGCTACCTGAGCACTGACGCTGCCCGGTAAAGATGTAGCTTCACTGACACAGAAGTTAGTTCCTGAAAGCCTCATGTCTGTTAACATGTAGAAACATGAAGCACAGAAACAAAGTAGTATTATATACACTATATATATATAAAATATCATAAAATAGTCCCCAACTTAGGACAGTTCCACTTATGATTTTTTGACTTTATGATGATGCGAAATTGATAGAGACTCAGTAGAAACTACACTTTGAATTTTAAATTTTGACCTTTTCCCGGGCTAATGATATGCACTAATATACTCTCTCATGATGGTGGGCTGCAGCTCCCAGTCAGCCCCTCGATCACGAGGGTAAACAACCAATACACTTACAACCATTCTGTATGCACACAGCCATTCTGTTTTTCACTTTCAATACAGTATTCAATAAGTTACATGAGATATTCAACATCTTATTATAAAATAGGCTTTGTGTTAGATAACTTTGCTCAACTGTAAGCTAATATAAGTGTTTTGAGCACATTTAAGGTAGGTTAGGCTAAGCTATGATGTAGATTAGGTTAGATGTATTAAATGCATTTTCGACTGACGGTATTTTCAACTTATGATAGGCTTACTGGGATGTAACCCCATTGTAAGTCAAGGAAGGTCTGTAATATAAACCCCAAATAAGATGAATTTCAGCATCTGCAAGCCTCAACCTTTTTTAAACAGTGTCACCAGCAGTTCTACATCTCTGGCAGAAACTCTGTGGGCCAAGCAAAGCTGCATGAAGATAGGATGCATCTGTTCCTGCTCTGTACGGCCACTTCCAAAACCGTTTTTATCCTTGGCTAAACAAGGGAAACTTACAGTCAGTGGGGAGGGGTCTCTTGCTACTAAAGTGTTCCAAAGGAGATGCTGTCCTTTTCACAACAATAAACAGCGCCCTTTGACAAACATCATTGGCACAATTCAATTATTCCTTAAATGAGATTCCTAAAAGTGAACTAACTGAATATAAAATATGAATATTATTTAAGATACTGACTTATTGACTTAGATGCGACTTAGATATTTAAATGGATCCTGGCTTTTATACTCAACTGAGGTAGAAGACCTTAATATTTTCAAATTATGAAATAAAAGTTAAAATATTTAAAATTATATTTACTATTATAATTTTTCCTAGATCAATATAAGTACTTTTTAACTCACACTAAATATGGTATTAGCTAAGTATAAAATTAGTTCATTAACTTCAAGCTCAATGGTTTCATGACCATGAATTTGCACAAAATGTCTAAATATTGTTTTCAAAATGTAATTATTCTAATATTAGGTGATAAAAAATAAAATAATTCATTTCATATGTAAAATTCTTTCATCTGGGTATTTTTCAATCATGTCTTAGTGAGAATGTTAATACTGTCATCAACATTATTTCTTAATTAACTGCCCCCTTATGGTACACAACACTTAAATGATTATTCTACGTGAAATTAGCTCTCTGTTGATCTAAAGGGTATGCTATACCTGTGCACCTATCAACCCATGGATTTTGGGTGACTTCTGCTAATCTGTGTGGAGGTAAATGACATTACTAGGGTCAGAAATGACAAACAGATTGTTGTATCTCAACCACCAGCACTTTCCTAGAATGCTGTGGATCAGATGTCATCTTCAGGCTCAGCAGAAAAAGGCACCACGATTGATAAGATGTGTGTGGAAGATGTGTGCCTAGTGTTTGCTATCCTTTAAGGGACCCTGGAAAGCACTTTCTGACAACCAGATTTAGACTATGGGAAACTGGAAAAGTAAAAATGTAGAGGTCTAGATAGCTTCCTTCCCACTTTTCTACCACCTAGAGATTCAGGTTTAGGGTGAGAAAGTGAGCTCTGGGAAGTGAAAGACTAGTCAATGACAAAGTTTTCTGGGCCACACTCTAGGAATACTAGAATGATTAACCCTTTAAAAAAATTTTTCTGCAAGCTTTATTTTTTCCTTTTCCATTATGGTTTATTACAGGATATTGAATATAGTTCCTCAGCTATACAGTAAAACCTTGTTGTTTATCCATTCTGTATTTAATAGTTTACATAGAACGATTATCCCTTGAAAAGAGAGGAAACATATGTCAAGAGGATCAGAAGACCATGCCTAGAAACTTGACAATCAAATGAGAGCACAGAAGACAAGAGAGAAAGGTCTGCATAAATTGAGATGTCATTAGGTATGATATTAAGAAAAAATTTTCAAGAGAATAATGGAAGAGGGTCCATGTAATTCATAGGACAAAACTGCTGAGACAATGCCTTAGAATAATATATTAAAGCCACAGATGCAAAACTATAAGTAATAAGTTCAGTATTATCACAGGAAAACAAAATGACCTTATATATATTACCAAAACCTGTGGCATGAGTGAGTGCAATATCAATGTGAAGAATAAAAAGAGACAGAAGAGGAGGAAAAATGCAGCACACTTTGTGTATCTGTATGGAAACTTACAAACATGCAGGTGGTGGCAGCATAAACAAATGCATTTGCATGAAAATAAATAAACAGGGACTTCCCTGGTGGCACAGTGGTTGAGAGTCTGCCTGCCAATACAGGGGACACAAGTTTAAGCCCTGGTCCGTGAGGATCCCACATGCCGCGGAGCAACTAAGCCCGTGCGCCACAACTACTGAGCCTGCGCTCTAGAGCCCGCGAGCCACAACTACTGAGCCTGCGTGCCACAACTACTGAAGCCCGCACACCTAGAGCCTGTGGTCTGCAACAAGCCACCGCAATGAGAAGCCCACGCACC